ATCGAACCGGTGACCTCCTGGTGCATGGGTCGACGCTCAACCACTGAGACACACTGGCCGGGCGGTTTTTACATTTTTAAATGGTGGAGAGCCCTGGCTGGTTTGGCTCAGCGGTTAGATCATCGGCCTGTGGTCCGGAGAGACCCGGGTTCGGTTCCCGCTAAGGGCATGTACCTCGGTTGCAGTTTGTCCCCGGCCCTGGTTGGGTCGTGTAGGTGGCAGCCACTTGATGTGTCCCTTTCACATCGATGTTTCTCTCTCTCTCTTCCTCCCACTCTATCTCAACAAAATGTTGAAAAATGTCCTCGGGTGAGGATTAAAAAAAAAAAAAAAAATTAAATGGTGGAGAAAAACATCAAGAGATGGAAGCTTTACACGCGAAAATCACCTGAAATTCTAATCTCAAGGCCTAGCCCTGCGGGTGGGGGTGGGTCACTGTCATGGTTGCGGCCGGTCAGCAGGTCGGCCCTGCGCTTCCCTGTTGCCCAGAAAAGCCGAGGCTGGACTTGGATGCCTTGTCTTGACGGCGCAGCGTGTGGCAGAGTGTCTGTCCGACATGAGTGAGAAGGTAACAGTCAGATAGGAAATTTAGACTGGGCCTCATCACAACTGGCCTTCGTCACAAAAATGGACAACAGTGTGACTTCAGTCAAAGTGTCTTAGTCCTTCCCTCCCTGGCCGACAGCACGGGTCATGTTTGACCCCAGCCCCAGGGAAGCTTGCCGAGGGAGGACCAGTGCCCTGGCTGGGAACGCTGCGATGGGGAGCAGGTCCCTCGACCTCAGTGAGGTGGCCTTCCTGCCCGGTCCTGCCTGGTGTCTGCCCCGGGCACAGCCCTGAGCGTGAAGTTCCTGACGTCTGGGCCTGTGAACTGCTGGCATGGACCAAGTGCCCGAGAGAATTTCCTGGACACGGACGCTGATTTAGTGCCAACTGAAGTGGAACCTGCTAAGATGTGGTGGTAACTGCCGGGGAAGCTGACCTGCTGCTGAGGCCTCGGTAGTGGCCCGTGACCTCGGGGTGCATCTGCGAAGAGGACCAGCGTGCCCCCAGTGTGGTGGCCTCGCCGGGCATCATGCCTGAGTGGCACAGAGAGGTGGGAGGCAGGGGCACTTTGTCTGAGCTGGACGTCCACCTCCTGGCTTCGGACCCTGCAGCTGGGCCTTTGGGCCTCGGGACGGACACCTGCAGCCTCCAGGGGTCTGGCCTTCATGCCAGGACTGAACTCCATCACCGGCTGTCCTGGTCTCCAGATCACAGGCGGGTGATCACGGGCCTTCTTTGTAATAAATCCCTGTGTGTGTTCATGTCTTGTCCACAAACGTGGGTGTCACCCAGACCCGTCATGCTCCTGCTCGTCCTGTCTCTGGGAAGTCTGCCTGTTGCAGGCAGCGGCGAATGTGTCTGCAGGGCAGAGAGGGCGCGCTCACAGCACCGGTCAAGTGCGGGGTGCGGGAGCCGCCGTCTCGTGTGGATGGTGAACCTGTTGCGACTTAGTGAACGTGTGTCAACCGTAGCTTAGCAACCATCAGCTCTGGGGCTTTTTACCAGAAGCGGAAGCTGATGTGGATACTTAACCTGAGTTCTTAAACTGGGAAGGGAAGTGGCAGGTGTGGGGGGAGACCAGCTCTCGAGTGCCGTCCTGAGGGCTGCTGTGCGCTCGGTGGTGGGCCTGTGTGGGTCACCCGGAAATCACGCACCGTAGCCCTGAGCCCACGGCTCCCCAGTGGGAGTCCTTCTGGTGACAGCTAATATTTGAGTCACAGATGGCTACACACATCTTCCTTATGACCAAACGTCAAAACGAGGGGAGATTCCGGTTCTCACCTTGGTTTCAGTCCTGCCTGACATGCAAAGGAAGCTTCTTGTTTCTAAATCCACTTAGGCCCAGCCGGTGTGGCTCAGTGATTGAGCGTAGACCCATGCACCAAGAGGTCGCTGGTTCGATTCCCAGTCAGGGCACATGTCCAGGTTGTGGGCCAAATCCCCGGTTGGGGGCATGCGGGAGGTGGCCAAGCAATGTTCTCCCTCATCGATGTTTCTATCTCTCCCTCTCCCTTCCCTGTTTTCTAAAATCAATAAAGAAAAAAAATTTTAAAAATAAATAAATTTGCCTAGCCACTGAGGAGCTGCACCTCCCTGTCACGTGACTGTGTGATCTGTAGCACACTTACAGGTGGGTTCAGGCCACGAGACCACCCCCAGGTTTGGTAATTCTCTGGAAGGACCCGTGCAAATCATGGTCACATGTGTCACCATAACCTGACGGAGCCAGGGAGGCCAGGTGCACGTGCGTGCCGTGGGACGCAGGAAGTGCTGCACTGACTTTGTGTCCAGGTGTTTCTCTGAGGCTGGTCACGCAGCGTGGCTGACCACCTGTGTGTCTGGCCTTCATCACTCCGTGCGGCTTCAGGTCCCAGCACAGATCACATTGTTAGCACCGGCTTGGGGCCATGGCCCCAGGTGAGCAGTCTTACCAGGCAGGACACCTCCAGAGCAGATCAAGGGCCAGGCTTTCTGGACTGTGCAGGTGCAGGTGACAGGGCTGCTGCTGTGTCCCCTTCTCTGACATGTGCTGCAAGGAAATGTCGAGAAAATTGTATTCTTGTAGCCTCTCGTCTGAATAAACATTCTGTTTGCCACTCAAAAAAGAGAATATTGACTATTAGAGGGAGGAGGGGAGAGAAACATTGATGTGAGAGCACATCGACCAGCTGCCTCCTGCATGCGGCCCCAGCCGTAATCGAACTGGGGAACCTCTCAGTGCCCGGGGGGATGCCCAGCCAACCAAGCCGCACCAGGCCGGGCAGAACTCTAGGTCTTAAACAGTCTGTAGCTTGTTCGTGAAATTGACACGAGAGTGGTTTGTGTTCTTGGAGCAAATAGGTGGTACTTTGCAGACACAGTTTGTCTCCTGTTTGCTCGCTGAACACTCGTCAGTTGTAACCGCTGTTCAGTAGATGCGGAGCTTGTGGGTGGGAGCACGTCAGCAGAGCTGAGGGAGCCTGCCTGCGCGGCCATGTCCTCCTCCCGACTTGGGGAGCACCTGCGTCTCCCACTGAGCATGATGCTCGCATAGGTGTTTCACAGGTGCCTCATTGGGTTCAGGTTCCCTGTGACCCCAGTGAGCTTAAGAGTTTTCATTAGGATGTGGTTGGGTGTCATCAGGTCTCTGACTCTATTAAGATGCTTTATTTGTTCTGTTGATGTGGTTCTCAGTGTTGGGTCAGCCTGTGTTCCCAGAGGAACCCCGGAGTTACTGTCCTTACATGTTGCCAGCTTTGCTCTGCGGGCGTTTTGAGAAGTTGGGCCCCGGGGTTCAGGACCGTGCTGGGTGGGCCTGTGAGCTGTCCTCTGGCTGTGGTTTTGGCTGGAGGCAGCCCTGGTCCAGCTGGAATCGGTGTAAGTCTCCCTTCAGTGGTGGGGAGAATTCACTGGGGAGGCCGTCTGGGCGGGAGGGTTTTCTCTTTGGGTGGTGGTTGGATGGTTTGGGTCCAGGTGCAGGGTTGCCTGTTCCTCCTGTGTGAGTTTGGTCGTTCTTGTCTTTGAAGCGATTGGTCCTTTTCATCGAAGTTGTCGGATTTGTTGGCATGAAGCTGTTTCTTATGCCCTCAGCACCTGCGTGCATCTCTATTGGTCCTGACTTTGGTCACTGTGGCTTCTCCCGCCCAGCCTGGCTGCTGTCGCCTGTCTGCATCTGTGCCACTTCCTGCTTCCTCATGTCCCAACCTCTCGCTCCATCCCGTTTCCTGGGGCCTGGTTCCCGCAGCTGCCCTGGCTGCTCTGGGGCGTGCCCTCAGGAGCCCCTTCCACAGCCACGGGGCAGCTGCCCCCCCCCCCCCCCCCCGTGGCCCTGGCTTTCCGCACACAGCCGTCGTGTGTGTGGCTGCCGGGTGGCGGGCCCGCTGGTCTGTGCTCCCACTTGTGGGGAACGTGCCCTTATTTCGAGTTTGGGGCACATGTGAAGAATCATTTTAGATTTTACTTGACTCTCTCTAGTTTCTCAGATTGAAAATGTCAGTGATTGGTTTCAAACCTTTCATAAAAACCACTTTATTGAGGTAAAACCTACACGAGATTAGACTCAACCATTTTGTGTTCAGTGAATTCTGGTTCTTTCACAAGCTCACAGCATCTCTGCGATCGAGCTCAGAATGTGGCTGTCACCCAAGACGAGCCCCCGCAGACTTGTGAGCACGGACCTGGGAGCGCGGGAGGGCACCCTGTCTGATCCGGCTGTGTCCTCAGGGCAGCACTGCTGAGCCTGGGAGCACGGTCACAGTGTGTGCCCCGTCAGCTGCACACCTGCAGATGTGTCCTCGCAGGTGTGTGCCTGCAGGAGCAGGTCAGCAGCTGGGGCTCCTTCACAGCATCAGGCAGCCCAGCAGGGACCTCCCATTTAGACAGGGCTGGGCTGGGTTTCCAGCATTTTCAGACCTTATCGCAGTTTGCCGCGTTGGTGCCCAGTGTTGGCACTCGGGCAGTATCTGGGCTTTAACCAGGTTCCAGCTCAGGTGAGGCTCTTACTCAGCTGCACAGCTGTCCGGGCTGGGACTGCGGGCCTTCCCCAGGGATGGTGAGGAGCTGGGGCACCTCATGGTGTCCTGAGCTTCCCAGGGTGAGCCCTGGCATCCCGCGGAGGGGCCTGTGAGAAGCTGAGAGCCGGTGTGGTTGGTCTGTGCGGGAAGTTTGCACATCTGATGGTCGGGGACTGGCCGGCGGCACCCTCCTGATCTCTCAGACGCCTCTGCCCGGGAAGGTGGAGGGTGCTGGGGGTACTGCATGGAGGGGCCAGGGGTCTGGTGGCCCCGGCATGCTGACGTGGTTCTGGTTCCATCATCTCCCCACTGGGGGGGGGGGACCTTCACCGCCTCCCTTCACTCCTGTTCCAGATCTGAGGGTGCACGGGGTTAGGGCTCCCCTGGGTCCCTGGGGTGGCAGGAGGTTATGACCATGGCAGAGTCATGTTATAAGGTGACACTCTCTGTGTCTGTTTGCAGACTATGTCTACTTCGAGAACTCCTCCAGCAACCCGTACCTGATCCGGAGAATTGAGGAGCTCAACAAGGTAGTTTGTGTGTGTGCATGCGTGCGTGTGTGTGTGTGCGTGTGCGCGTGCGTGCAAGAATGAGTGTGTGTGCGTGTGCCTGTGCGCGAGTGTGTGCGTGCGAGAATGAGTGTGCGTGTGAGAATGAGTGTGTGTGCATGTGTGCGTACGTGTGTGCGTGTGCAAGAATGAGTGTGTGTGTGCGGGCCTTAGCCTTGTGGGGCTGGATGTCCACCTTTCTGTGGCTCTGCTCTAGGGCCACTGCACAGATGAGACAGAACACACCCCCAGCCTCAGTGCTGTGTTTGCAGGAGACCTTGGGGCGGGGGCGGTGTGGATTGGCCACTGTCTGCTCAGATGTTTTGGTGGCTTTGTCCCCGGGGACATTTGCCCAGACATGGGTTTCTGGTGGCCCCACTTGAGGGATGTGTTCTGTGGGAGCTGAATAGAACAGGGGTGTTGAAGGTCTGGGCTGAAAGATTCCCAGGACCAACAACAGGGCCGTGGAAGCCACGCCCTGCACCTGGGCCTCAGGGCCTCCGGCCACCACTGTCCCCCTGCCTTTCTTCACGATCACTTGGGTGCAGTAGGGTGGGCTCTCGGGTTCCCACCCTGCTCCTTTCGCTTCGACCAGCTGCTGTCTGCCCAGAGGCCCTCGCCACCCCACACGGGTGGTCCCCGAAGGCCCTTCCCCACCTCCTGCTGGCTCCCTGGTTGGAGGCGTTCTGGGCAGCGCCGGGAGGTGCTCCCCTCCCCCCTCCACTGGACATGACCACGTGGTGCCGGGTCAGCTCAGCCCTTGGCTCTGCAGCTCCTTCCTTCGGGCCTCCCTCGATCCTGCAGAGGGGCTGCCCGGCCTTCCCCGCAGCGCACCTCCCAGAGCGCCTGCTGTCGCTCTGCCTGCGTGAGGCCCTTCCTCAAGAGGAGGCTTCCCTGGACCCCAGGCTTTGTGGCGGTGTGGCTTGGGAGTCTCGAGACCAAGCAGGACGAGGTGGCCAGGTTGAGGTGCTGGCCTGACTCCCCGAGAGGTCAGGCTTGGCCGCTGCTGAACCCTGACCCATGGCTGTGTTCGAGAGGGCCTCTTGCTGCTCCTGCCGCCACCACAGGAGCAAGGACGTGAGGGAGCCGGTGCCTGTGCCTGAAGCCGCGCCGCCGCGGGGTGGGCTGAGGAGGGCAACCGGCAGCTCCCACAGGGCCTGGGACCGGGTCTGGAGACCCACAGCGTCTGGGCATCGATGGGCATCCGGGTGCCACTGTGCTCCTGGACCCAGTACCCGGCTCACCGCCTGCGTGCGCCTCAGGGCCAGTGGGAGGGGGACGGCGGGGGAGGGAGTGCACACACCTGCACGGCCCGATGCACTCAGGGACATGGAGCAACAGGCACTGTGGCAGTGGAGCAGGCGGGAGGCCACGGGGGAGTCACCCTGGCAGGTGGGGCTGTGGCATCCGCCGTGACATTCGTTGTACAGATAGAGTAGACAGCACCGACCCGCCACGGGGGTGTCGGCTAATGCCCATGTCTGAATGGCCACTGATGACTTTCTGTGGGCGTGCCTGCTGCCTCTCGACCCGTCCGGTCCACAAAGAGCCAGGGAGCCGGGCCAGGCAGGGTTCCAGAGGCAGGAGGGCTAGTAGTGCGATCGAGCATGGCTCTCCCCTCTCGGGCGCCCCGCCCCCTCACGGGCGCCCCCCACCCCAGATAGCAGGACAGCAGGGCCAGGGCTGCGCCATGGGAGAGGAGAGTGGAGGTGGTGCCCCCAGTGCCATGGACACAGACGCTTCCACCAGGGTTGGGGTGTTGGGAAGGGTGCTGACCTGCAGGGACGGGTGGGCACGACTGTAGCCCCCGTGGGTCGAGAACACAGAGGAGATTATTGGAAGTGGGGCCACGGGCCCAGTCCCGGCCGGAGAATGGACTCGGCCCACGTGGGCGCAGCGCAGGCAAGCACGGTTCAGGTAGGGGCTGGAAACGGGGTAGTTTGTGGCTCCCGAGGGGCCCTCAGCCCTGGACCCCAGGATAGCCTCTGGCGGGCAGAAGGGCGGTGAGTGCCCATCTGCAGAGCCCAGGACACCCAGAGGCAAGACGAGCTCAAGGAAAGTTTTCTTAAATTTTTATTTTTATTTTAATCTTAACGAGAGGATTCTTGTGTGGGCCTTAGAGATAGGAAGGGAAAGAGAAACGCTGATTGGTTGTCTGCCTGACATGCCTCCATCCAAGATCGAACCTGCAACCTGGGTATGTGCCCTGACCAGGAATCGAACCGCCACACTTTGGCGCAGGGGACGATGCTTCAGCCAACTGAGCCACACTGTCCGGGGCTCAGGGAGAGATCAAGGCAGACCAAGAGGAGGAGCTGGTGCCGAAGCAGAAGAAACAAAGCAGACACACCTCTCACGTTCTTGGAGGAACAGGCAGAGGTGCCCGGAGACCTGGGGGCGAGAGCACCCAGGAGGTTAGCAGGAATTTTCAGCGTTAGTAGGAGGAAAGCTGGGAGGACTCGGCTTCCCAGAAACTGGGACAAAACGCAGAAAGAGACCAGGCACCAGGTAGTGGGAATTGTGGAAAAGGGGACAAGGCGTTGGGAGGCAGGGTCTAAGACATGTGCCTCCTGTGTTTGTCCCCCCAAAACCACATCCAGAGAGACGCAGGTGCCCAGTCAGGGACAGCTAGGGGCTCCCTCAGGTTCTGGTGTCAGCACATCGGAAACGGGTCTGAGGACACATGGAACCTCACGGCACATGGGGGCCGGAGCGGGGTCCCGAAACTGAGCGGGTGCACTGGCTGAAAACAGGTCTGATGCCCCGGCTGGTTTGGCTCAGCGGTTAGAGCGTGGCCTGAACAAGTCTGACGAGCCAGGGGCACATCGGGGTCTGGGGCCTGGGAACAGGAGCATCGGGGTCTTGGTCCTTTGCTGTAAGTTGGAGATCACTGTAACATGAGGTTTCTGAGAAAACGGGGGCCTGTCCTGCTGCAGTGGGGTCTCCTTTCGCGAGGCTTGTCCTCAGGCACTGGCAACTCAGCTGCTTGTCCTGCCCGCTTGGCTCTGAGGGGGGACGGCCAGCAGTGTCCCCTCCCCAGGACTCTGGGCTTTTGTGAAATTTTTTTTTTCTTTTTTAAAAATATTTATTGTTGAATGTATTACAGATATTCCTCATTTTTTCCCCATTGACCCCCTTCTCCCCCCTCCCGCCTCCCTCCCGCCATTTCCCACACTGTTGTCTGTGTCCATTGGTTATGCATATAAGTTCTTTGGTTTATTTCTTCCCAACCCCCAACCCCCTTCCCATTGAGGTTTGTCAGTCTAGCAACCAATTTGTACTTCTTCATCCCTTCACCTTTTTCACCCATTCCCCCAACCCCCTCCCATCTGGCAGCCAACAAAATGTTCTCTGTATCTATGAGAATGTTTCTGTTCTGCCTGTTCATTTTGTTTGTAGATTCAATTGTTGATAGATATGTATTCATTGCCATTTTGTTTGTTCATATATTTTGTCTTTTTCTTCAACATTTCATATAATAATGGTTTGGTGGTGATGAACTCCTTTAACTTTTTCTTGTCTGGGAAACTCTTTATATGGCCATTGATTCTAAATGACAGCTCTGCAGGATAGAGTAATCTTGGTTGTAGGTTCTTGCTTTTCATCACTCTGAATATTTCTTGCCACTCCCTTCTGGCCTGCAAAGTTTCTTTTCAGAAATCAGCTGACAGTCTTATGGAAACTCCCATTAGGTAACTAACTGCTTTTCTCTTGCTGCTTTTAAGATTCTCTCTTTGTCTTGAACCTTTTGCATTTTGATGATGATGTGTCCTGGTGTGGGCCTCTTGGGGTTCACCTTGTTTGGGACTCTGTGCTTCCTGGACTTGTATGTCTGTTTCCTTCACCAAGCTAGGGACGTTTTCTGCCGTTATTGTTTCAAATAGGTTTTTGATTTCTTGTTCTCTCTCTTCTCCTTCTGGCACCCCCAAGATGCGAATGTTGGCACGCTTGAAGTTGTCCCAGAGGCTCTTTACACTATCCTCATTTTTTTGGATTCTTTTTTCTTTTTGCTGTTCTGATTGGGTGTTTTTTGCTTCCTTATATTTCGAATCGATGGTTTGCTTCTTGGATTTATGTACTCTACTATTGAATCTGTGTAAATTATTCTTTATTTCAGTTAATGCCTCCTTCAATTCTGACTGTGCATCCATAATTTCTGGCTGGTCCTTTATTATGCTCTTGAGGCCTTACTCATTTCACTGAGGTTCTCACTGAGTTCATTGAGCATCCTTATAAGCAGTATTTTGAACTCAGCATCTGTTAGGTTGCTTACCTCCATTTCGCTTAGTTCCTTTCTTGGGGTTTTGTTCTGTTCTTTCATTTGGGACCCGTTTCTTTGTCTCCTCATTTTGGCTGCCTCCCTGTGTTTGTTTCTGTGTACTGTATTATTTAACGAGCGGTATGGGGCCCGCTGAGACCAGATGCTGCTCGTTTGAAAGAATTTAGGAAAAACCTGAAGCAGGATCCAAGACAGGCCAATCCTATGGTTAAGCAACTGGCAACAACTTGGGTGGGCCTGAAAGTTGGGTGGGGCGGGGCCTCAGGGAATCACCAGGGCGGGGCTACAGTGTGAGCCAGGTTGCTGGAGTCTCAGATGTGGCTGCTGTCTGCCGCCCCAGGGAAGGGCTCACCAAAGGAACAAAGGCCTCTGACAGCACGTTTGTCCCGGAGAAAGCCCCCTCTCCAGCCCTTGCTCCAGCAGTGCCAAACAGCTCAGTTCTTCCCTGTATGTCTCTGGTGCCCCTCGAGCTGCCTCCCCTCCAAGCTTAGAGGGAGAGAGTCTGATAAGTCCGTGCGCGGGCCCTTTAAGGAGCTGCCTGGGGCTCCTGCTGCTTCAGCCTCCCTGAGCCTCAGTTCCCGCTGGTTTTACAGCCAGAAGTGATGGGGATTCTCTTCCTGGCACTGGAACCCTGAGCGGGGCACCTGGTGTGGGACAGGGGCCCCTCAGTCCTCAGGAAGGACCTTCCCAGCTGAGGTGTCCTCCTGATTTTTATCCGCCACACGTGGGTGTGGGGCCAGCCCGTCGCGCCGCGGCCTCCGCAGCAGCTGTCGCCGCAGCCACGGCCCTCGCCCCTCCTACCAGTCTGGATGTGGCTGCTGCTTTAATTCCGTGGTTGTAGGACTCCCATTCAGCTTGATTTCGGGCGGTTTTGAATGATGGTTGTTCCGTAGTTTAGTTGTAACGTTGATGTGGTTGTGGGAGGACGCGAGACCACGTTTACCTACGCCACCATCTTGACCGGAAGTTGTCCTTTTGTGAATTTTCAAAGAAATTGTTGAGTTTTCTCCTTAGGTCTTTGGACATGTATCACATTTACATTGTAGCTGTGGAAAATTAAACCTTTACTAGAAAAACTGCTGTTTGGGAAGGAAAGGGGGACCAGGGCGTGAGAACCGAGAGATCAGGTGGGTCGGGGGACAGGCCCTGGAGGACAGGGAGGGGTGCGGCGTGCGCAGGGCCCGGCTGGCGCCGCGCTGCCAGGAGAGGCCCAGAAAGGAGCAGCGGCGGAGGCTCCCAAGAAGCCGTGTGTCACGGACCCTGCTACCTGGAGCCGGCAAGAAAGATGTCATGGGATCAGAAGCCAAATTGTAGGAAACCTGTTAGGTTTCGAAGATGGGGTGTGGGAATCTCAGAAAAGTACAGCAAAGGACAAAAGTCAAAAGAGATGGGGTGGCTGACCCCAAGGGGGCCTGGGGACCCCATTCAGCTGCTGCCCTGCATCCTGTGCAGCTGTGGAAAGGCCTTCGGGACCTGGCCCGTGGAGCTCGGCAGACGGTCCTCAGTTACCCCCGGTCCCCAGGATCCTCTGGGACCTGGCTCGGGGAGCTCTCAGCCCTGCTCTGGCCCCAGTGCTCGCAGACGGTCCTCAGTTAACCCCGCTCCCCAGGATCCTCCGGGACCTGGCTCGGGGAGCTCTCAGCCCTGCTCTGGTCCCAGTGCTCGCAGACGGTCCTCAGTTACCCCCGCTCCCCAGGATCCTCCGGGACCTGGCTCGGGGAGCTCTCAGCCCTGCTCTGGCCCCAGTGCTTGCAGACGGTCCTCAGTTACCCCCGCTCCCCAGGATCCTCCGGGACCTGGCTCGGGGAGCTCTCAGCCCTGCTCTGGCCCCAGTGCTCGCAGACGGTCCTCAGTTACCCCCGCTCCCCAGGATCCTACGGGACCTGGCCCGTGGAGCTCGGCAGCCCTGCTCTGGCCCCAGTGCTCGCAGACGGTCCTCAGTTACCCCCGCTCCCCAGGATCCTCCGGGACCTGGCCCGTGGAGCTCGGCAGCCCTGCTCTGGCCCCAGTGCTCGCAGACGGTCCTCAGTTACCCCCGTTCCCCAGGATCCTCAGGACCTGGCTCAGGGAGGGCCCACGCAGATTGAGGCGGCAGATCGGAGATACAAGGCTGAGGCTGCGGGGACCTGGCAGAGCACAGAGGAAACTGGAGGGCAGGTTCCAGAGCCCGGAGCCTCCAGGGTCCCGCCCCAGCTGGGCACAGCTGGCTGTCAGAGCAGAGGATGGGTGGGGACACACAGGTGCTCAGGCCAGGGTGCACTTGGGGGTGGCAGGTACGTGAGGGGCACCGTGGAGCGTGTCATCCTACACCCCGCAGGTGCTGCCAGGTGAGCAGCGTGTGGGCACACCTGCCTTGGCATGAGCACCCGTGCCTGGAAATGGCTAAAATGGCCCAAAGTGTTGATCACGGCAGATTAAACTTAACACTCGCGGCTGAGGTGGGTGCTGTCCTGGGTGGTGTCGCAGCGTGGGTGGTCGGAGAGCCCCTTGCCGTTCTGAGTGCCGTGTGTACCTGGAGAGATCTCTTATCGGGGCTCATGGGCTTTGGTGACTGGTTGCTTGCGTGCTGACTGCTGGGCCACGTCTGTTTCGGGAGCCGTGGAGTTTGTGCCCGGGCCCAGCTCAGGGACGAGGCGGTCCTGGCGGTGGGAAGACTTCTTCTGGGCCAGCGGGTTGATTGGAGTCAAACACGGTCTTTAAAGATAAGTTTGTTTGACGTTACGAGTGCCAGCACGGGAACTTCCACAGAGGTTACGATTGTGATAGGATGGCTGTGTTATTATGAAAAATGTAAGTTCCTGTTGGTTGGGGAAAGATATGTTCTCCCTGTGAGGTCATTTACCCAGCAACCTACCCGCGGCCGTCGGCCCTGTCCCCGTGTTCATCAGACTTCAGCAGCAGCTGGCCCCAGTGCGGGGTGGGCGCTCTGGGCCCACCTGGGCTGCCTCTCAGGTCCCCGGCACACTGCCCAGCACGCGGGTTCGGTGCTGGGGTGACCAGCCCACTGGGAGCTGCCAAGGCGGTGGCTCCCCCACTGAGGGCAGAGCCGCTGCGGCTGGACTCTTCACGGCCGACCCTGTGGCGGCGAGGTGTCAGCCAGGCCCTGGCCCAAGCATGGCCAGGGAAGGGAAGCCCAGGTGCCCCTGCACAGCCAGGAGGCGGAGGCAGCGGGAGGCCGGGGTGTAGGAGGTGCCGGGGTTCGCGGAAGGGAGGAGACAGATCAGGGACTCCGGGTCCTGTGAACGCCCTGGTCCGAAGCACTGCTGCTCCGGAGCACAGGCCGGCCTGAGTGGCCCTCAGGTGACTCCCTTGCTGTTGCAGACGGCCAACGGGAACGTGGAGGCCAAGGTGGTGTGCTTCTACCGCAGGCGGGACATCTCCAGCACCCTCATCGCCCTGGCCGACAAGCACGCCAGTGAGTCCGCCCTTTCCAGCCCCCTCCCCAGGGCAGGGCTCCCCGCTGGGTCTGCACCTCCCTTGCTGGGCGGGTCCCCGAGAGTGCCCAAAGCACCGTGGCTGGGGTGGGTTCGCACGGTGTCTCTGTGGGTACCCCTCCCTAAAAAGTAGGTCCTGGTGTAGGCTTGTCACCCGGGAGGGGGGGTCAAGTTGCATTACTGCCTGAGGTTTTTTACGTGATATGATTGTTTTGAGACTTCAAATCCAGTTGGGCCATTTCCTGGGTACAGCAGAGTGGGCAGGGCTTGGGCTCAGAAGGAGCCCCCCCCAAGGCGCTGCTGGTCCTGTGGACATTTTGCCATTTGTGCACCCCACCCCACCCCCCGGCCTAAGGAGCACGCCGCAAGGCATGTTGCCCAGTTACCAGCCCCGCCCGGCTCCGTGTAGTTGTCGTCCGCGTCCTCAGGCGACCACGGACTGGCTGGGTCACCTCTGCTTCAGGGGCAGGGCTGCCCTTGTGTCCTCCACATGTCTGGGACCACATGGAGGAGCCGGCGCGGCCCTTGTCCCAACGTCCTGCCCTGCGGAGCCGGGCAATGAAGCAGGGCTTGTGTGGGCTTCGTCTCTGGTGGGGCTGCAACGAGACTGTCCCAGGACCCCCTGGCCGCTCGTCCCTGCGAGGGTGTCCAGCCCCGCTGTAGGACAGGTGCTCCCCGGCCGCCTGCAGCCACCAAGCCTCTGGGGTGTCCCAGACCACTGCTTGGCCCTGTCTCCTCTTGGGGACCCGAATAGCCTCCTTGGGCCACTGCAGACATAGCCCTGTCCCCCTGCCACCCCCCCACACAAACATACGCTCACACCCCCACACGCATGTACATGCACACTTACGTATCCCCATATACACACTCATGTACACACCCCCACACCCTCCTACAGAGCTGTCCTCTTGAGCATAAGACCTTTCCTGGGGGGACCTCTGGCCCAGGTGACAGGCCAGTCCTTCCTGTAACCCCCAGTTGGTGGGGTGAGTGAGCTGGCAGGTGGGGAGCAGAGCCTGCCTGGGCCTTGGGAATGAGTCCTCCAGCCCTAAGTCCAGGGCCAGAGCCCACCAGTCCCCAGGGAAGGGGTCTCTGTGCCACAGTCCACCTGCTGTGGGTCAGCGCCCCGAGTTACTGGGGGCCGGGGCTTAGCAGGGCCCGAGGGAAGGTGGAGAGCGCCGGGAGGGCACGGGGCTGCAGGGAGCCTTTCTCCGTCTCCTGAGGCCGTGAACGTGGCCCTGGGAGACTTGTTCCCTGGGTCCCCTCCTCAGCACTGCTGATAATTCTGGCAGGGTGGGGGTGTTGGAACCCCAGTGGGCTCGCGTCGGGCTGTGTCTGCCACAGGTGCCATCCCTGGGGCCCAGTGGTGCCATCACAGGGCTGGCGTTTGGATGGTGGTGACGTCCCCAGGCTGGGGTGCCTCGGGGTCCCTGGGAGTGAGCAGGGGGGTGAGGAGGCACGAAGGGCACTGTCTGGAGAAGACGGCCTCCCAGGCCCTGCCCTGGCTCTGGGACTCCCTGCAGCCGCCACAGAGGGGCAGCAGAGGGCCACGGCTGGTGGGGACTTGCCGCTGAAGCGGAGGGGCCGGATTCAAGGAAGCCAAACAGTCTCACCCACAGCTCCGCGGGAGGGTGCAGCGGGAAACTCCGCTCTGTAACCCCCTCCAGGGCCCGGGGCAGAAGGCAGGGATTTAGCTGTGTGGCTGGTGGCTCCCCTGGGCGCTGGCCAGCGCTGGGGTGGCCTCGCTTGCGTGCCCTGCCCTGGTGGTGTCCTGCAGGCCCCTGACTGCCTCAGACCTCCACTGTGCCCTCGGGCACCCCACCCCGGGCTGTGTGCTGGGGTGCCCACAGGGGAGGCTTCCCTGGCCCCGCTTCCCGTTGCCGGGGGCAGCGCTAACCCATCGCCGACCTGTCTGTCCTCCAGCCCTGTCTGTCTGCTACAAATCTGGATCTGGGGCCGACAATGGCGAGGAAGGTAAGGGCGCCCTCCTCGGGGCTTGTCCGAGCCACCAGCTGCGGGGCTGTGCCGGGGCTGGGGTGTGGGCCAGCTGACCGTGCCTGGGTCGCACAGGGGAGATGGAGGAGGAGATGGAGAACCCCGAAATGGCCGACCTTCCCGACAAGCTGAAGCACCAGCTGCGGCACCGGGAGCTGTTCCTCTCCCGGCAGCTGGAGTCGCTGCCCGCCACCCACATCAGGTAGCTGGCGCGGAGGGGAGGGCAGGGCTGCCGGGCGGCCCCCCCTGACACCTCCTGTCCCCGCAGAGGCAAGTGCAGCGTCACTCTGCTCAACGAGACCGAGTCGCTCAAGTCCTACCTGGAGCGGGAGGTGAGGGCGCGCGTGCTTCTCCTGCTCACGAGGCCCACCCTCCCCGCCTGTGGCCCCGCCCCTGGGGCAGCTCTGCTCCGCCCCCCAGCCTCCACCCTAAGGGCCAGGGTGGGCAAGGCTGGGCTAGAGGGTTGATGACAGACGCGCTGGCCTGCGCTGGCCCCCGGCCTCCTCGAGCCCCCACTGCTGACGCAGGGCCGCTGGCCAGGTAGCGAGCAGGGTCTCTGCTTATAAAATCAGAAGTGTTAACGCGGACATAGGCTCAGGGGCGAGGGCCCAAGGCTGTCCCCCAGACGAGAACCGGGACGTGTGTGGTAGGGCCACCTGCCCCAGAGCTGCGACACCAGCACGCGTCCTGGGGAGCAGTCACCCTGGCGAGGGACGGCACTGGGCAGAGCGCATGCTCCACGGACTGATGGGGTCGGGTGGCTGGGACATGGGGGTCTTTAGGACGGGTCACAGTGCAAGTGGCCCACTGTTCTTGGCCACATCCACCCCGCCACAGAGCCAGGCTGTCATGGGGCTTCATGGGGTGTGGTGGGTGGGGACCAGCCCACAGATGATGAAGGAGACAGCAGCCCAGGGAGGCAGCCGCCACTGAGGAGCCCGGGCCCTGGCTCAGCGTCAGGAGTCCGGGAAGCCACTGGCAGGGGACAGGGCCTGGGCGGGCCTGGGCGGGCCTGGAGGGCAGGCCGGCGGGCAGGCCTGGGCCCTGGGGGCAGTGCTGTCGTGAGCAGCTCCTGGGAAGCGTGGGCATGGGGCGTGGGCCAGGACAGGGCCCGGGTGGAGGGCAGCACACGGGCAGAGGTACCGCAGAGCCTCTGCCTGGCACCCAGTGGACATGCCTGGCGTGGAGCGTCCTGTGCGTGTCTCCAGGTGGGCGCCTGGGTGTGCAGAAGGGTTTGTTCTCACGTGGTGAAGGGACAGGTACCCTGAGACCCTGGTACGGGGCAGCCTCCCCTCCCTGAGGCTGGGCCGCCCTGGGCGAGGGTCTCCAGTGCTGTCCTGCTCGGGCCACAGGTGGGCAGTCTTCATGGGCAGCTGCGGTGAGCCGGACTCTGACCAGGAGGAATGCTCGCGTGGGTGCTTGGGCCCCCAGGGGCGGGAGGGAACCGCCGAGGGGCTGATCGCTTTAGGGAAACAGCAGGTGGGTGCTGGGAAAGCCACCAGAGAGGGAGGTGCTGCCGGAGACAGGAGGCAGAGTGGGCAGCTGGCAAGGACCTTGTCCTGGGGCTGGGGCGCTGGCTTGTTGCTCAGAACTGTCAGCCACTCTGCCCTTTCCAGGAGGGGGTGGCATCAGCCAGACGGTGGACAGCAGGCCGTGGGGTGGGAGGGGCAGGCGGGCAGGGACTCACACTGGCAGGTGCCGTGCAGCCGGGGGGGGGGGGGGCGGCAGGGGAGAGGGCAGGGCTGTCACTGCTCCGGATGTTCTATGACCCGCGTGGCATCTGTGACGGCCGCAGGGAAACTGCCCTCTTCCCCACGACGTGCCCAGAGCACGTCAGGCCCGTCCCTGCGCCGCTCGGACTGGGGTTCTGTGGACATGTGCATAAGCGGGCTTGACGGAGATGCTGCCATCTGGGGTGTTGGTTGGCAGCAGCCCCGTCGGCTCGGCGGGCCAGGTGTCACTTGGTCCTTCGCGGGGTCTGAGCTCAGGCCGTCCTGCCCCACCGTGTCCGCCTGCTGTCACCCCCCGGCGGCCTGGCTGCGTCTCACTGGGCTCCGGGGCGCCAGCACCAACGTGCCCCGCGCTGTCTTGCAGGACTTTTTCTTCTACTCCCTCGTCTACGACCCACAGCAGAAGACGCTGCTGGCCGACAAAGGGGAGATTCGCGTGGGCAACCGGTACCAGGCGGACATCACGGACCTGCTGAAGGAAGGTAGGGCCGCGTGGGGCGGCTCGGGAGCGCGGCGCCGGCCTCTCCTGGCCTGTGGAGCGTGTGTCCTGTTGGCAGTGTGTTTGGGTTTTGAATGCAACTCTCAAACACGGGTTTCAGTGGATGTCTGTTTTGCTGACTCCGCTGGTGGGGGCGCCGTCCGTCCACGAGGCCCACCGTGAGGCGGCCCCGGCCGGCTCCCTGCAGCAGCCTGGGGGCGGTGAGTGGGCCTGACCCCTTTCTCCTCGGCCCGCTCTCCCCTAACAAGCCGCGCAGGCAGGAGTGTGGGGCCTCCATGGCTAGGAGGCCATGGCTCTGGGAAATGAAGTCGCTCCAAGTGACCAGGTGCTCTCGGGCCTCTTTTCGGGGTGTGGGAGACGAAGCTGTGCCTCACGCTGTGAGCACCTCGTCACTGGAAGGTGGTGGCCGAGTCTGGTGGCCTGCGTCCCGTCCTCCCAGAGGCCTTCGGGGTCCTGTGAAGGCTGCTCCCCACTGCCACGTGCGCTTGTGGGCTGTTCCTCATTCTGCTTCGCAGCCTGCCGTGTGCGCTGCGTGGTTGCTCCCACCTGACCCGACCCCCTCGTTGGCCGTCACTTCCGCTAAAATAGTCTGTCATCAGCGATGAAATACAATTCTTGGCTAAACCTTGGGGTGGCAGCCTGCAGTGACGCTTACCTCATGTCCGAGCGTCCCCTTCTGTGGCGTGAGTCCCACCCCCACCCTCCACCTGCCAGGGGTCCTTGGGATGAGCTTGCACTCTGACCTCGGGTCTCCGGCTGCCCTCGACCGGCTCCTCCCAACGGAGCGTCCCAGCGAGTGTGCTCTTCGCGCCCCTGCCCGGAACTCATCCTGCCGTGTTTCCGCTGCCTTCCCCTGCTCGCCTCCCGTTGTTGACGCAGTGTCTCGTTTCTGTCTGGCCCTGCCTTGTGCACGCTTGTACACGTGCCTCTCACATGTGCACACGCCCACGCCTACCTGCTGGCGTGCACACACATACATGTGCACACATGGTCATGTGCATAGTCATGCATGCTCACACCCTTCCCGGTGGTTGGCTTGCTGTCTGTCTTTCCGGGGTCCTGTCCTGTGGCCGGTGTGGGTGTCATCACTCAGCCAGGCCGGCTGGAGGCTGTGGGTCGCAGCGCCGTCCCCTCTGTGCTCACCCGTGTGTCTGGTCCTCCGAGGCCGCAGTGCCACCTCCTTCACTTGGCACCCGGCTCTGGCAGGCCCGTCCTCCAGGGGACCGCGGGCAGGCAGACCCTTGGCCCCAAGGGCATCACTGGGAGCCCGGGCCTCCAGTCTCGTTGGTTCACGGCCGTTTCTTCCTTGTAGGCGAGGAGGATGGTCGCGACCAGTCCAAGCTGGAGACCAAGGTGTGGGAGGCGCACAACCCCCTCATAGACAAGCAGATCGACCAGTTCCTGGTGGTGGCCCGGTGAGAGCTGCTGCCCCGGCCCCATGGGGGTGGGGGGCGGGTGCTCGGGTCTGTCCTGCAGGGGACCCCCAGCGTGTGAGAGAGTTTTTAAGTGGATGCCACTCAGTTCCTGTCCCTGGAGCCTGGGCCCCTTTGGTCAGCTGGGGCTGCACTCCTGTGTCCTGGCCACCACCCTGTGGCCAGCTGGGGTGAGCACCTGTCTCCCTCCCCAGCTCTGTGGGCACCTTCGCGCGGGCCCTGGACTGCAGCAGCTCTGTCCGGCAGCCCAGCCTGCACATGAGCGCGGCGGCCGCCTCACGGGACATCACCCTGGTGAGTGGGCTGCGGCAGAATGGCCAGGCCGAGGCACCCACTGATCAGGGCGTCTGACAGGCCTGGCGCCCCCTGTGGGGACACCTGCACGGCTGTGCAGCCTCACCACCGCCCCTTCCTTCCAGTAGACAGCTCAGGTTGTAGCGCCTGCCCGGCCTGGGGCGCTTTCTCCCTGGGTCACTGCACCCACTGAGGGGAGGGGACGGCAGGGAGAAGTAGGCCCGTTGCCCACTGACCGTGGCTGGGTGTGACCCCCAGGCACAGGCCTGCCTGTCTCCTGCTAGGCAGCGGAGGGGGTGCTCCGTGCACGGGTGGGCACAGTGGTCAGGGGCCTGGTGACCCTGTGTCTCTCGCGGCAGTTCCACGCCATGGACACATTGCACAAGAGTGTGTATGACGTTGCCAAGGCCATCTCGGCCCTGGTGCCGCAGGGCGGGCCGGTGCTGTGCCGCGACGAGATGGAGGAGTGGTCCGCCTCGGAGGCCGGCCTCTTCGAGGAGGCGCTGGAGAAGTACGGCAAGGACTTCACGGACATCCAGCAGGACTTCGTGAGTGCACGGCCGCGCCCAGCGCTCCTCCCCGCACTGCGCTGCAGGCCGAGGGTCAGCGCTGGGCGTCGCGTCTTCGCCTGCTCTGACCACCCTGTGCTCCTCGGAGCTTGTTATTCTTAACCACGGACCGCTCCTTGCTGTGTCCTTGATTTGTGCCCTTGGAGAATGTCCCCCAGGGAGCCCGTGGGTTGCAGAGCATGCGGCCTGCACCCTCGGGGGCCTTCCCCACCCCACCTCTCCTGAAACACATCACTTCATCAGCAAAGAGAACGAGGAGCCCAGGGTCCCTCGCGGCCAGCAGTGCATGTCTGTGCAGAGGGTGGTGGGTGACCAGGAGCTCGAGGTGGGGGCCCGCCAGCATCTGTTAGGAGCGTTCGTCAGGAGCATCCTCACTGGGGGCAGGTGGCCGAGGATGCAGAAGCCAGTGGCCAGGCCCGGAGGGGGCCTGCAGGCAGGCCGTGTCCTAGCAGAGCGTGCAGGCATGTCCCGACCGCTGAGGGGCAGGCAGCCCCCACGAGGGAGGTGCGTCTAGAACTCTGAGCCGAGAAGAGCAGAGCCGGCAGGGTGACTGGGCTCCCACGGCGGCAGCAGGGTTGGGAGGGTGTGAGGGATGAGCCATAGCCACCAGGAGATACGGGACTTGGGGACCCTGTCCTGGAGACCCCACATCTCCTGTGACAGGTCAGGTGGGCGCAGGACAGGCAGGCCTGAGTCCTCGGCTCAGGGAGGTAGCTGCCAGCTGCCATAGCTCCGGCTGTGTGGTCACGGGAAGTGGGTCCCGTGGTAGCGCTGTGAGCCGAGGACCCCGACTCCACGCCCTGAGGAGTGCACAGGTGCACCTCAGCCGTGCGAGCTAGGGCTCGGGAGCAGGGCACAGCGTTCAGAGACCACACTGGTGAAGACATGGCACACGGACCAGCAGGACGTCGGCCTGGACGTGCTCTGGCAGGGCCAGGGCGGTGGGCCACATGTGTCGCCTGAGCCGGGCACCGGGGGGTCGCCTCAGGCTAGAGCCTTTGACCCATAGAAGTGTGTTTAGAGATGTGGGGTTGCCCACAGCAAGGCACCACTCACGCAGTGTCCTTGTGGTGCGTCCTGTGGCCCCACTGAAGTGCCCTTCTCTCCCCAGCTGCCCTGGAAGTCGCTCACCAGCATTATTGAGTATTACTACATGTGGAAGACCACCGACAGATACGTGCAGCAGGTGGGCGGGGGGACCACCGGCAGATACCTGCGGCGGGCGGGCGGGGGGACCACCGGCAGATACGTGCGGCAGGCGGGCGGGGGGACCACCGGCAGATACGTGCGGCGGGCGGGCGGGGGGACCACCGACAGGTACGTGCGGCGGGCAGGCTCCTGGACTAGGCTTCCCAGGCAGACCCTGGGTGGACCTTAGGGTGACCTCTCACAAGGCAGACAGTGGGGGAACACTGGAGCTCCCCTCCCTGAGGAGCAGCACCTCCCCAGCTGCCTGTGGCCTCTGACCTTCCGTTCTGTTTTAAGAAACGCCTGAAAGCAGCCGAAGCCGAGAGCAAGTTAAAGCAAGTTTATATCCCCAACTAGTAAGTGCTCCCCGCTGTCCCCGGGCGGCTGGGCATGGGCCCGAGACCCTGGTGGGGAGCTCTCCCACGGCCTCCCAGGTGGCGCCGGTGCCGGGTGGGTTCAGCTCCGAGCTGAGCTGCTCCCCGCAGACAGAGCTAGGGTGTGGACAAGGGCTTGAACCGCCTGAGAGCCTCTTCTAGGCCTCGAGGGGAGGAGGTTGACCCCGGGCGAAGAACGGCCAGCACGGAGGCCTGCTCTCCTTGAGCTGCGCGCCTGCAGCGTGGCTCCCCGTGATGCCCTCCCTCTCTCCTCATCCTAAGTAACAAGCCAAATCCGAACCAGATCAGCGTCAACAATGTCAAGGCGGGCGTGGTGAATGGCGCAGGGGCACCAGGCCAGAGCCCCGGGGCCGGCCGGGCTTGCGAGAGCTGCTACAGTAAGTCCCGCCGCCTGGCCCTGGGGCTCGCCAGCCCGCAGCGTGGGCACCCTGCCCGGCCCGGAGCCCAGCCTGGGGCGGGGGCTGCAGGCTGCCCGGGAAGCCTCCCCGTGAACGGGACGGGATGGGACGGGACGGGCTGGGCGAGGCGGCCGGCGGGCGGGCGGCAGCTGTGTGGTGCTCTCTGCCGTCACTGGTTCTGCTTAAGAATCCGTCTATTTCCAACTTTGTTGTCCGTAGCCACCCAGTCTTACCAGTGGTATTCTTGGGGTCCCCCTAACATGCAGTGTCGTCTCTGCGCATCTTGTTGGACATATTGGAAGAAATATGGTGGCTTGAAAATGCCAACCCGGTTAGATGGGGAGAGGCCAGGACCAAACCGCAGTAACATGGTAAGTGGGCGCCTCCCCGCTCTGCGCGTGGCCTGGCGGCCGAGCCCGCGGTCATGGCGCTGTGTCGGGGCGGCGCGCCCCCTTCCGCAGAGCCCCCACGGCATCCCAGCCCGGAGCAGCGGGAGCCCCAAGTTCGCCATGAAGACGAGACAGGCCTTCTATCTGCACACTACCAAGCTCACACGGATCGCCCGGCGCCTGTGCCGCGAGATCCTGCGCCCGTGGCACGCCGCCCGGCACCCCTACCTGCCCATCAACAGCGCAGCCATCAAGGCCGAGTGTGAGTGGCCCCCGCCCCGTGGCTCCCGCCCAGCTCGCAGGAGGGGAGGCGGGGGCCCCAGGGTTGTGGCCCAGCCCTTCGGTGTGGCGCCCACACTGCGTGGCCCACAGGTGCGGCTCGGCTGCCCGAAGCCTCCCAGAGCCCACTGGTGCTGAAGCGGGCCGTGCGGAAGCCCTTGGAGGCCGTGCTCCGGTATCTCGGTAAGCCTGCCTCCCGCAGGTCCTGGTGGCCGCCACCCGCGCGGGGCCTTCTTGCAGCCCCACCCTCCCAGCCCGACTCCTGTCCTGGTTTCCCCTGGGCCAGCCTCCAGGTGTCTCCCACCCCCACGCCCTGCTCCCCTCGCACCCCTGTAGTGACTGGGGGGGTAGGGTTGGGTTGGGCACACCACTCCTGTGATGGCTGCCTCTGTGGACACCTACAGGAGGGTCCCCGGGGGCCGATACACTGGGTGGGCGGGCCTCTGTGGCTTGGGGACCCTGAGCACCTCACTGGCGCCTTCGTCCAGCTTTGCCCACCACAGGTGGCCAGGCCAGAGGGCCTCGGGAGGGACAGGCAGGGCTCACCCCTTGGCTGGTTCAGGGCGCGCGCGTGAGTCAGTCCCTCCAGCATGGAGGTGACTTTCCGTGAAGGACATTCCGGAGCGGTGAGCTCAGTGTGCCCACTTGACACAAGTGGCTTTGGCATCGTTGGCTGTCTGGGGTCCTGGTCCAAGGGCCGGCCTGGCCAGGCCTGGGGAGGAGGAGGTTCATGGCTCCTGAGAGGCACCAGTGGCTGGGGCCCAGCAGATGTGAGCCTGTGCCCTCCACGGGCACGTCCTTGGCTCGGCCCTCGGGCTGTTAATTCATCGTCTGGCCAGTGGCCAGCCCTCTGCCATCGGCTCCGGTGGCCTGGACATGGAGGCTGCTGACGGGCCTGCTGGCGCGTCTTCAGCTGGAGTCTGTGAGCTCCTGGCCGTCATCCAGCCTTCGGTGGGGGCCGAGGTGCAGGCCCAGCCTGGACGCTGGATGTGGGGCGGCGTCCCTCCCGGTGGCCCTGGCAGAGGTCGTCCTCGGACGGGATGGGGCCTGGGGCTGCCCTGCTGCCCACACCTTTAAAGCGTCTCCCCATGTTGCTCCCGACAGAGACCCACCCCCGACCCCCCAAACCTGACCCAGTGAAGAGCGTGTCTGGCGTGCTCAGTGGCCTGACCCCCGCCAAGTCAGCCCCCGTCATCAACAACGGCTCGCCCACCATCCTGGGCAAGAGGAGCTACGAGCAGCACAACGGTGTGGACGGTGAGTCCGGGGAGGCCGGGGGCCTGGAGCTCGGCCAGCACAGCCTGCAGCCCCGGGGCTCCGGGCCCCTCCGCCCTGCGCCTGCGCCCGCTGACCGTGTTCTCTCTCCTTCTCTCCTGCCGTCGGGCGCTGCCAGGCAACATGAAGAAGCGCCTCTTGATGCCCAGTAGGGGTAAGGCCTGGGGCGGCCGCTGTGTGGAGCTGTGTGTCTGCTCGCGTGCGTGGCGTGGCAGGCGGCTCAGGGCACGTCCGTGGGCAGTCCGTGTGGGCCAGGCCGCGTCCCCCTCCCCCCAATTCGGATATTTGCCACTTGGCAAAGAACCAAGTGCTTCCTGTGGGCTACAGCTGCCCCGAGTGCCCTCTCCTGGCCCAGCGCCTCTGGCTCTCGGGCCGTCCCTCCTTCCTGGCCCGGCCTGGCCGTGGACTGCCCCTGCTCGTGTGGCCCTGGTGCCCCAGCTGCCCGCCCGTCCTGTCTGCCATCGCACTGTGATCGCCCGCATGCCCCCAGCCTCGGCTCTCATGGTCGCCCGTGCTGTGCCTGCAACTCTCCTGTGTCCTTTCTGGGGGGAGGGTAGATGGACGGAGCTGGGGTGTGGCCACCGGCTGGGGCAGGTCTGCCAGGCCCAGGCGGACACCCAGGCTGCAGTGCTCTTGGGAAAGGTTCTGAGCCGGGGATGGGGCGACACCACTTTGAGATCCTCTCACCATGGAGTGTGGGGTTGGCCGTGGCCTCGGCAGTGGGGCTCCCGCTGGCCCACATCCCGCTCAGGGCCCTGCTGTGCCCTGTCGTTGGAGGAGGGGTGTCCGAGGGCTGTGGGGCTGCTTCAGCCTGCGGCTGGGGGGCACCTGCACTGGGGAGCTTGGCCAGCACCCGAATCGCCTGCGGCAGGAGCCATGTGGGGTGCGGGGAGCCGAGTGGAAAGGATTTGAGAAATGTGCTCTGAGCTCCTGCCAGCCCCGTGGGATGGGCAGTCGGGGGCACCCCAGCACCATGGCCAGCCAGCGTGCATGTGCCCAGGGCACCTTTCCCAGGCTCAGCACTGGAGGGCACTGGTCTCCTGGGGGCTGGCCAAGGCAGTGGGTAGACCAGGCTCAGCCGTCTCGGGGACATGGGGGCCGGGAGGTGGCAGCAGGCAGTAGCCACACAGCCAGCCCGTCTCTGGGCACACTGTCCTCTACCCCATCTGGGAGCCCCAGCAGGCACGTCCCGTGGCGTCACCAGTAGTTCTGGCTTCTGGTTCCGCCGTCTCACCTGCCCTGGCCCTTCAGTCCCCCGTGGCCTCTAGTGAGGGGCCTGCCTGGGGCCCCGTCGCCAACGCAGGGCTGGCCCTGCCCGCCTGCCCCTGACGGGCACTCGGGAGCCATCTGATGAAGTCTGCAGGGATGGAGTCAGGTGCCCATCCGCAGGCGCTTTGGGCTGCAGGCTTGTTTTGTAGAGTCATTAACCAGCAAGGCGGATCAAGTTCGTGTGCTCTGTGGGTTCTTATAAAGTCGGGGTGCTTCCATGTAGGCTTCCACTGGGCCTGTGGTCCTGAGGCAGGGCCTGCCCCACCTGGGACTTAACTCACTAACCACGCGCCTCACTCTGACCCACCTCCCTGGCCTCCCACGGGGCATGCGCTCACTCTAACGCTCAGTGTTTTCTTCCTTCCGCAACCGTCGCTCTGGTAGGCACTTACCTGGGTAAGTAGTGCCAGGGCCCTGGCCCATGGGGCCTCGCAGGGCAGAAGTGGTTTGCAGGTGGGGAGGGCGGCCGGCACGTGGAGGAGCAGCTTGGCTGACACCCGCACACACACTGCTGTTTGCACGCTCACACACGCAGACACGCTCACACGCGGACACGCTCACACACCAGACACTCACATGCGGACATGCTCGCCCACTGGACACATTGCTGCTCACATGCTTACACACGCGGATATGCTCGCACATGCAGACACGCTCACACACCAGGCACATTGCTGCTCACACACGCAGACACACATGCGGACACGCCCACACATGTAGACACGCTCACACTCACTGCTGTTCACACACGCGCGGACATGCTCTCACACTGGACACACACTGCTGCTCACACGCTAACATGGATACGTGGGCATGCCCACACACGTGGACATGCTCACACACTGCTGTTCACACATGCGGACATGCTCTCACTGGACACACACTGCTGCTCACACGCTAACATGGACACGTGGACACGCCCACACACGAGGACATGTTCTCACTGGACACACTGCTGCTCACACGCTTCCACGTACACGCTTCCACGCTCACACACGGGCAGAGGAAAGCAGTGTGGGCCCTGGGGTTGGTCCTGCCTTTTATTCAGGTTCTCCCCCAACCTGCACTCAGGAGTCTGGGCCTTGGGTGCCACTGGGGGGTCCAGGCCAGGTGGTGCAACGTGGATGGTGCCTGTCCCGAGTCCTGGCAGAGGCGTGTGGTCCAGACACCCTGGGGTAGTGAGGGCGGCTGGCCTCCTGGGTGTGAGCAGGGCTGGCTGAGTGGCGCCTGTGGGCTCTCGGGGGCCACTGCAGCTGTCGGGGAGGCCCGGTCACTGCGCACGGGGCTTCCTTCGCCTCGGCTGAGTGCGCGCGGGGCCTGCCTGTGGAGCACGCTGTTGGACCCGACACTGGTGGCCCTCAGAGCCCTGGGAGCCGTGGGGCGCTGGGCTGGGCAGCAGGGCCAGCTGAGGCCCCTCGTCCCCCGGGCCCCGTCTGGGTGTGGGATGTGGCTGGGGCAGGGTTGGCCCTAGGTTGGTCTCCCGCCTCCTGGGACAGGCTGAGGGCCTCGGCAGGTGTGGACGTGGGACACACTGGGCCGCAGCCTCACATTTGTCCTCCCCGCTTGTCAGGCCTGGCGAACCACGGACAGACCAGGCACATGGTAAGAGGGAGGGCTGGGCCCGCGCCACAGGTGCACACCGCACACAGCCCTGGGCTTTGGGAGGAGGCCCAGCGGGACCAACGGGGCAGGCAGGGGCGTGTCCCAGCCCCCGAGTACCCCCCACCCCTCAGTTCTGGGGCTTGGTGTGGAGGCCCCAGGAAGCCCCTTCACGTCTCCCCTCGCTCAGGGACCAAGCCGGAACCTCCTGCTGAATGGGAAGTCGTACCCCACCAAAGTGCGCCTCATCCGGGGGGGCTCCCTGCCCCCTGTCAAGCGGCGGAGGATGAACTGGATCGACGCCCCTGACGACGTGTTTTACATGGCCACCGAGGAGACCAGGTGGGGCCTCTGGCCAGGGGGAGGGGGCAGACCATGGGGCGGCAGTGTCCTCGTCACTCGGGTCCCTCGGGTCCCTCTGCACTCACAGGAAAATCCGCAAGCTGCTTTCGTCCTCGGAGACCAAGCGCGCTGCCCGCAGGCCCTACAAGCCCATCGCCCTGCGCCAGAGCCAGGCGCTGCCGCTGCGGCCACCCCCGCCCGCGCCCGTCAACGACGAGCCCATCGTCATCGAGGACTAGGCCCACTGCCCAGGCCGCTCCGGCCCAGACCAGCCTGCCCGCCCCCGCCTGCCCGCCCGGTTTGGTAGCGCCCTCCACCCTCACCCGCAGAGAAGCCGCCCCTGGGGCCGGGGAGAGCGCGCCCAGGGGCTGCTTTAGCTTTGTGTTCCTTTCCTGGCCAGAGCGGAGTGAGGGGCCGGCCGCCCGTGTCCGCACCGCGGCGGGCTCGGGCCGGCCGGAAGTTCTGTTGTGTTCTGTTGAAGGTGCCATTTTAAATTTTATTTTTATTACTTTTTTTGTAGATGAACTTAAGCTCTGTAACTCACCCCTGGAATGTCAGGGTCGGCGCAGCCAGCGGCCGGCCGAGCGGCCTGGTGGGGTTGGCCCCTTGTCTTTTCAAGTAATTTTCATATTAAAAAAAAACAAAGAAAAAAAAACTCATAAAAAGAAAAAAACAATTCGACCTTCTTGTGTCTTTTGTCTCTGTTCCTCTCTGTCCCTGTCTGAGCCCCAGCCTTCCCTGCCCCCAGCACCTCAGAGGGACAGCCAGGGAGGGACAGCAGCTGAGCTTGGGCTTGCTGGCCAGTGTGGGTCCAGAGGAGGCCCTGCCCTGAGTCTTGGAGGCCACCTGGGTGCCAGGTGGGTGGCTCCAGGCCCGAGAGTCTCCCTGGGGCAGAGGACCCTTCCGGAGAGGCCGCAGTGAGCAGCAGCGGCTGTGGCTGTCCTTGCCCAGGCTGGGCTGAGGATGCTGCTGCCCCTTTACCTTTGTCCACATACCTGCCTCCAGGGTCTGGCCCAGTGCCCACCACCCTCCCGAGGGTGCTCAGGGCCCTCGCATGGTGGAGCTGACACTCTGAGGCAGGGGTGGGTGGCCAGGGCCCCAGCCCCATGGCCATGTGGCTCCCCCTTTTGTGGGGCAGCCAGCACATCTAGGGTGGCCGGCCCACCGCCCTGCTCCTGGCAGAGCCTGCACAGCTGTCCAAGGCGTCCGTCCAGAGCCACCGAGCTGGGGGCAACCCCAGCAGGTGTGGAGTTTCCTTCTGCGAATTGCTCAGATTTCAGCAAGTCCGTTCTCAGAAACCCTACCTCAGGCATTCCCCTGTACCCACCCTCGCAGGCCCTCGGACATGCTGCTGGCCAGCTGCTGCGGGAGGAACACCTCTCAGGCTGGGCCACCCCGCTGGCCCTCCTGGAGGGGCTGCCTCACCCCTCCCTGAGCTCTGCCTCCTGCTCCCCCAGCCCCACTATGAGGTGTGCGCATCTCAGAAACTTAAAATAGAAGCCACTGCTCACTGGCTGGAGAGATAAGGGGCATTTGGGCGTCCCTCTGACAACCTGTGATGGGCCAACAGGGTGACAGGCCAGGGTGTCAGAGGAGTGGCCGCAGCACCCCAGCCAACTCCAGTCTGCAGTCCTGCCCCTCACATGCCGCACTGCCTAGGATAGGGCTGTGGGGTCTCAGCTAGAGACCAGGAGGTGACCTTGAGAAACAGCTTCCCTTGGGGGATGGGTGCTAGGTGCTTTCCCCAGCCCTGAACCAGGCAGCCTCTATCTCCCTCCCCGCCTCCCCACTGGGCCGGCAGGCCTTGCGGCAGGGTCCCTCTGCCCAGGGCCTGGGCTGCTTGGGGTCTGAGGGGGGCTTAGGAATGGGGAGTGGGCACACACGGGGAGCAAGGGCCTGGGTGCCCAGGGGTAGGCTTGTCACCTGCTTGGAGACCCAGCACAGGGTGACAGCACCCCCCGCAGGGCCAGGGCCATCTCAGGTGAGCAAGAGTCATCCTGCCTGGAGACCTGCTGAGCAACCCCATCCCCCCTGGCCCTGCCCTGGGTCCCTGCAGCAGGAGCCAAGACCAGGATCCTAACGTCATTTGTCAATGTTGTCATAATGGCAGGGCATATGAAGACTGGTGGTCCCTAGAGTGCCATTCCACTGTGACCCCAGGGCAGGGACCTGCCCCTACGCCTGGCCACCTGGCCCAGACACCTCAGGGCCCTGTGTGCTCTCCCCACACCTGGCTGTCTTCACCCTCCCCTGTCCCTGCCCCACCTTTAGTAGCCTCAGGTGGATGCTACTGCTCTGTGTCCATTGATCGGTGTCCCCTCCCACCAGGTCCAGAATAGTTGTGGTGCGGGAGGGAGCCTGTGGCCTGGCCCAGGGACTGTGGCTGGGGGGCAGGGCACCTGTCCCTGGCTCTCCGGGGCGGCTGGCCAAGGCTGGATGCCATTCCTTGGACCCACCCATTCGCTCTCCAGTCAGGGCTGGGGTCCTGGGGGCCTCCCAGAAGACACCTGTGCCAGCCAGCCTGCCTTGCACAGCAGTCCTGCCAATTTCAGAGGTGGACGGAGGTAGGGGGAGGAAGCCTGGCCAGGGGCTCCCTGTGGGAGAGGGCATGGCAACCACACCAAGCGGGCAGTAGGCCATGAATTATGCAGAGACACCTGACACCTGGCCTGAGCAAGGAGCTGGCTGAGGATGACTGACCTGTGGGGAGTCCCCACAGCTGGCCACCCTGCTGAGGCCTCCTGCCTCTGTCTCCGCCTTGGCTGGCGTCAGGCCAGAGAGAGCCAGGCATGGACAGGGAGGGGTCCGGTCAGGCTGGTCAGGCAGGCTTGAGGGGATCTTTGTTTCGGTGGCTGCAGGGTGTGAGTGAAAGGGCGGGCAGCCAGCCCAAGGAGGGGCCGTGGCAGGATGCCAAGCACACCTGGGTTCTGGAGGCTGTGGTGGGACTCTGGCTTGCCCATCCCCTCACTCAGCGAACACTGGTGATGCGGTTGCCAGGCCCTGGGTCCCCCAGCTCCTCTGGAGGAGCAAGTGCACCAGGCAGAGGAGAGAGGGGTGGGCACAGAGCCTTGAACTCTGGAGAGGGGGTGCGGGTCCTGGTCATCTGGGCCTGGAGTGGGGTGGCCTGTCCACCTGATAGTCTGAAGCTCAGCTGGGGCTGCTGCACTATGGGAGGGTCCTCCAGGTACCACCTGGGGTGGGAATGGGCATTGGGGTTAGGACCAGGTTCTGCAGGCTCCCGGTGGAGGCAAGGAAAGGGGAGCGGCCAGGAGGGCCCGGGTGGGGTAGGACTGTAGGGCCCCAGCTCTCCTGTCCTCCATGCTTTGGGGCCAAAGGGCTAGAGGCGAGAGGCTCTGAGCCAAGCTAGTGGAGCCAGAAGAGAGACCGCCGCAAGGGTCCAGCAAGGGTCCGCAGGAGCTGGGGAGAACGCACGGAGGGCGCCACTGCTCACGCTCCCCACCTCTTCCCCGCTCTCCGCCCCTACTGCCCCCTAGAGGGCAGAGCCCCTGAGCACGCCTGCAGCAGCCCAGCCCCGCGTTCCCCGCCGCTGGCCGCCCCCTCCCCCGCCCCCTTCCAGCAGTTTCTCTCGCGCTGTTTTTGGAAGTGGCGGGCGCTCTGCCCTCCACCCGCTGAGCCTTCGGCACCACGGACACTGTGGAGCCGGGGGCGGGACCCGGCCTGGGCCCGGTGGCCGAGCCCGCCAGGAATCCGGCTGGGATCCGGCCGCGCGGCCGTTGCTATAGAAACCGAGCAACAAAGGGATGAGGGGCGCGCGACAGGGTGGGGGTGGGGTCCTTTGGGGGAGCCTGGGCTGGGCGTGGCGGGCGGGCCTGCCGTCCGAGCCGCCGTCGGCTTGTCCAGGGGACGCCCTTCCGGGACCAGGCCCCGCTGGCCCTACAGTCCTTCCCAGCGGAGAGGGCCACGCACTCCCCGCCCCGCCCCGCGGCCCGACGTTGCCATGGAAACAGGCACGGCGCTGTCAGGACTGGGCGGAGGCCGCCTAGTGCGCGGGGCCGAGGGGCGCCAGGCAAGTCCGGCCGCCCCCCGCCCGCTGCCGGCCGCCGGGCAGGTGCACCCCCGCCCCGGCGGCGCCCCCACTCCAGGCTTTGGGAACCGGGGGGAGGGATCCCGACGCCCCGCCCCGGCGGCGGAGCCAATGGGTGCGCGGGCAGTCGGGCGGGCGGGGCGGGCGAGGCAGCGGCGACGAGGAGACGGGCGCTGGCGGAGGGCGCGAGCCGACCGGGCGCACCGACGACCATGGCTTCCAAGTGTCCCAAGTGCGACAAGACCGTATACTTCGGTGAGTGCCCGGGCCCGGCCACGGCCCCACCGCCCTTCGCGGTCAGCCCTCGGCTGCAGACCCGCGCAATCCCGCGGAACCCGGCGTGCGCCCGGCCGCCGCCCCGGGATGCGCAGCCCCAGCCCGGTTCCGCGCGGTTCGGGTGCGGCCGGAGGGTGGAGCTGAGAGGAGGTGGGGGCGGCCACGCCCGAACCCAGAAGCGGCCGGTGGGGGTAGGGCAGGAGCGCGTGGTCCCCCGGGATGAGGCTAGGGTTGGGGAGCGGTCCGGGTTCGGTGTATCGCAGTCCTGCGGGCGGTGCCGAGCAGAGCGGGTTTGGGCAGGGTCATGCGCTCCGAGTGCTTCCCTTGCTTTCCTGACTTTCTTGGCCCTTTCCCGCGTACCCCCGTTTCGCCTACCCACGGACACATGGCCCGGCTGGCGTGGACCCAGGTGTCCCCCCCAACCCGCACCCCGACCTCTGCCCATGCCGAGACCGGGACAGATCCGGGCTCTGTCTGGACTTGGTTCACGCGGGGGCGATCTTGGCCTCTACCTCCTGCGTGTCCCAACGTGCTCCCTTACTTGGTGCGAGTTCACCCAGGACTTTCCCACCGGTGGGATGGGGTGACAAGCGAGTCCCCAAGAGCATGAGAGGGTGCTGGAGTCCAGGTGGCCACAGCAGCCCAGGACAGAAGAGGGTAGCAGGGTAGGAGGGGGTTGTCCCTGCCAGCATGCCCTGGGTAGGCAGCACCTCCTGGCACTCACCCACTGACTGGCTCACTCACCCACTCTCCCTCCTCCTGGCTTATCCTAGCCCTTACTTAGCCAGGTGGGCAAATCCCTGCCCACCGACCCTCCTACCCACGCCTGCACAGAGGGAAGACAGAGGCAAAAGGGAGGATGGACAGAGGGTGGGGACGGACGGGATCATTCCCTGGTTATTCTGGAGCGGTGGTCGGGGTCCAGGATGGGGACAGGCTGACGTGAAGGAAGCTGCTTGGCTTCCCCGCGGACAGGGCCAGAGGAGGTGGCCAAGCGTTGTTTGCTGTTCCCAGAGGGAGGAACCGGATTTGGCCTGGAGTGCTTCTGGCCTGGCTGGGAGCCGAGGGGCTTCCGGGCTTCCGGCTGCCTCCCAGGAGCCCTCCCAGCCCTCTGTCCCCATCCCAGAGAGGGCTCCTGCCTCTCTGGGTGGGGGACAGTCCCGGGTCCTCCTGCCTGCCCTGCTGCCCACGACTTTGCCCCCAGCTAGGTCAACTCACTGCCCCCCAGCTGGACCGACAGTCCTGTGGACAGCCGGGGAAAGTGTTCTGCCAGCTTGGGCGGCCGTGGGATCCCGGCAGAAAACAAAGACGCTCAGACCCGCTGGCTTTGGGCCTGGCCAGGAGGCACTGGTGGAGGGAGGGGGGTGGGGGGACTGGGATCCTGCCCACCCCCCAGCCAGGCTGCACCCCAGCACCCCTCCTCAGTAACCAACACCTTAGTGTGCTCACAGTGGAACAGGGCCAGGACACCCAAAGTGACCTCAGGATACTGTGTCTTTGTGTCCCCAACAATGGTGCAGCTGGGTGGGGTGGGGTTCCTTTCCAAGCCGTTAGACCCAGTGAATTCTGTCTTTCCGACTCAGCCAGTAATGTGTGGCTGTCGACCTGCTCTGTGGGTCTAAGGGTCATTCCCCTGCCCTCGCCCTCGAGTGGCCACATCCAGAGCCCGAGTGCAGTGGTTCTGGTGCCAGGAGTTGGCCAGAGGACCTGGGAGAGAACTCGGCTGGCATGGATCGGAGCGGCCTTGGGCTGCTGAGCGGGCCCTCACTCCCAGGCTGCTGGGGCCCTCGGGGAGGCCTGGCCCAGACAGCTAACCCTATGTGAGGGGACCAGAGAGCTGCTGGTCCTTGGCCAGATTCCGCTGGGGTGGTAGGGCCCAGCTTGCCTGCCCCTACCCCCCACGCTGGTGCAGGCCCTTCCTGGCCCTCCAGCTGGTCTCTGGCCTTTCTTCCTGCCCTCTCCTCTGCCCTTTTCCTGCTGTGCATCCTGGGGAGGCACCCCCACATCCCTCCATTGGGAGGTGGCTAAGCAGTTCCAGCACCACGGGGGTGGGGGGGAGGGCACCGGACCCAACCCTCAGCAGCTGGTCCCAGACCCTGGGCTCCAAAGCAGCAGCTGGAGGCAGTGGGGTGGGGACTCTCAGGGCCAAATGCAGACAGGCAGGCATCCTGTCCCTTGGGGGTTCCCACTGGGGGATGGGAACTGGCTTCCCAACAGGGGTTCTGGAGGCTAAAGGCTGCTCCCCTCAGCAGGGGCCTCTGCCCTCTCCATTGGAGCCTGACTGAGGGGTTTGGGATGGTTCAGGGATGAGTGTGAGGAGGAGGTGGGTGTGGGGGGCAGTGGGAGGCAGGTGTGTGGGAGCAGGTGTGATGTTGCAGGGGCTTCTAATGTCTGCCCCGGCTCACAGCCCCAGCCCCGGGAGGCAGCAGGGCCCCTGAGGGGCAGAGAGGGGCCTGGCTGGGCCTGGCTGGTCTGACGTCCTACCCCCCCCCCCCCCCCCAGCTGAGAAGGTGAGCTCCCTGGGCAAGGACTGGCACAAGTTCTGCCTCAAGTGTGAGCGCTGCAGCAAGACGCTGACGCCTGGGGGCCATGCCGAGGTGAGCCCCCCTGGGCTGGGCTGGGGCTGCATGGCTCTCCCCACCCTCAGGCAGGAAGAGGGATCCAGTCCGCCCAGGCACTGGCCCTCACCCCTCCACCCATGCCCCTCTGCCTAGCATGACGGGAAGCCGTTTTGCCACAAGCCCTGCTATGCCACGCTGTTTGGACCCAAAGGTGAGTTCGGGGCCTGCCTCCCAATTGGATCTGTTCTGGCTGCTGGGGAGGGGTGAGCCCCTTCTCTCCATACCCTTCCCAGGACTGGGCCCCAGCCCACGGTGCCCTCTGGAGCAGGGTTGACCCCATAGAATGGGCTGTGGAGGCTGAGGTGTGAGGCCTGGGTGGTGGGCGAGGCACTGGCCACCCACCCTAAGTGCCTGCCACCCTACAGGTGTGAACATCGGAGGTGCAGGCTCATACATCTATGAGAAGCCCTCTTCAGAGGGACCGCAGGTCACTGGCCCCATCGAGGTCCCCGTGGCCCGAGCTGAGGAGCGAAAGGCGAGTGGCCCCCCAAAGGGGCCCAGCAAAGGTGGGCTGGTCTCTGTGTCTGGGGGGAGGTGTGGGAGCCCCTTGGCTGCCCTGACTCCTCCCCGCCCCCTACCCCAGCCTCTAGCGTCACCACGTTCACTGGAGAACCCAACATGTGTCCTCGGTGCAACAAGAGGGTCTACTTTGGTGAGTGAACACGCCCAGCCCCGACCTGTGGAAGGTGTTTGCCGAGGGCCTCACGTCACCATCTCTTTCCCTTCCCAGCGGAGAAGGTGACTTCTCTGGGCAAGGACTGGCACCGGCCATGCCTGCGCTGTGAGCGCTGTGGAAAGACGCTGACTCCGGGTGGGCACGCAGAGGTGAGGGGGGCATGCACGGGCACCCTCAGGGGGCCAGGCTGGGCAGGGGCCAGGCTGCACGGGAGGAGCCCGAAGGGCGGGCCTGGCGGTGTGGGCTGCCCCCTGGTGGCCAGAGTGGAGGCCTGGTGGCACCGCGCTGTCGGCCCCGCCCACTCCTCACCACCGGGTGAGTGGACTGGTCATGGCTGTGGGAGCTTGAGGGCTCTCAGGGAGGGAGGCAGGCGCGTGGACAAGGAGGAAGCCACCAGAGGGAGTGGGGGCAGAAAAGTCTGGACCCCCACCTCACCCCTATCCTGCCCCCAGCATGATGGTCAGCCTTACTGCCACAAGCCCTGCTACGGAATACTCTTCGGACCCAAGGGTGAGTGTGGCCAGGAGGGTGGGGAACCAGGTGCCCCCCTCCCGCCTCCCCACCCCTCCAAACCACCCTTTTGGCCTGTCTCCACAGGAGTGAACACTGGAGCTGTGGGCAGCTACATCTATGACAGGGACCCCGAGGGCAAAGTTCAGCCCTAGGCCCTGCCGCAGGACCCACTGCTTGGCCCCACGGGGAGAGTGGCCAGCTGCCCAGTCCCACCTAGCCCCAGCCTGGCCTAACCTCAGCGGGGGCAGCTGGGAGTCCAGGGCCTGCGTGTTGGGGGAGGGCGAGGCCGGTTGGGGCATCTCCAGAAGAGGCCAGCCCATCCCCGTTTCTCTAGGTGTGTCTGCTTTTGTGTCCCAGCACCATTACCCCATTTGTGTCCTTGTGGCTCCCTGCCTGTGTGACCCCCATGTGTCTCTGTTTGTGTCTCCTGGCTCCTGGGTGTCCCTGTGTATCCCCGTGGCCCTGGGCGAGTCTCTCTGAGGTGGCCACCCCACTCTCCCCCTCCTGCTGCCCCATGCCTGCCCAGTGTTATTTATCTCCCTCTGCGGGGGCCACAGCCACAGCCCTCACAGTGTCCCCGGACAGGGCCCTCTGCAATCTCCCACACTGCCTTGCAAGCCCCGCCCACCACCCTCACGTGGTTCACACGCAACGCCGAGGTTTTTGCTGTCAATAAAACGTTTGAGGAATTCAGGGCTCAGGGAGCACTGTTTCTGGTTGTGGGATGGACATGAACCCAGGACAGGGTCCTTTGTCCCATCCACAAATGCTCCCAATATGCCTGGGCCCGGCTTCCGGTGGGGGCAGGTCCTTTTCTCAAGGTTGAGGGTGGCGGGAGGGAGGCTCTGTTTTGGGCTGTGGTGCCAACACGAAGTCATTGGGCAGCTGAGAGAGGAGCCAAGTAGGTGGAAGTGGGAGGGTGGGAGACACCTGGGGGTGGGGTCCAGAAGGAGAGAGGAGCCTATGTTACCCAGAGGTCACCTCCCTCTGGAGCCAATGGCGCTGAGCCTGGGCCCCTGTAAATGCCAGCACTTGGGCACTAGAGCCAGGAGATACCTGGGTCCATCAGAGGCCCAGAGGTGCGGGACGGGTCAGCCTTGATGAAGCAGAAGCAGCAGAGGACAGGCCACGTGGAGGGAGAGGAGAGAGGTGACCAGAGGAGGGGTCCTCTGCAGGGTGGATGACTTGAGGTTGGCCTTCAGGACTGAGCCTGGAAGTCCAAAGGGTTGGGATGGGGAGGGCTGTGGTCAGACCAAGACTGCCCGGGCTCTGCCGTGGCTTTTGTCTGCAGGGCTAGCAACGTGGTGGCCATGGCGGTCAGCCTGCCTCAGCATGGATTGTGGCCCAAGGACAGAAGGTGGGCGGGAGCTTGAGTGCCCCACTGTCGGGGCGCTCCTGCCCAACCAGCGTCCCTGGGTCTGCGGTTGCAGTGATGGTGGAGTGGTTTGAGACCTCCCCAGGCGGTCTAGGCTTTGCCCTTTCAACCTGGACCCCTTGAGAGCTCCTAGGAAGCCCCTCTTCGCGGCCCGCCCTCCCTTTATCTGCCGCTCGCGGACGTCCCGCCAGAGGGCGTGCCTTCTCTTCCACTCGGCGCCCCTGGCAGAAACCGCGCAGACCTCCCGAACCCAGGCCCGCCTTGGCCCTGTCCGGTCCCCAGCACCGGGCCCCCAGATGCCTCACCCTCTCCGGAGCCCTGGGCATCTGGGCCTGGTCACCTCTGAGCCACAGATGGCCGGTCTTCAGGTGCCCTGCACCCCAGCCCTTGACACAGGCCCCTCCCCCGCCTACCCTCTAGTCCGTTGGCTTAGGCACAGCTGAACCTGATGCCGGGCCTTTTGTCTGACAAGCAGCCATCCGTGTCCCAGGGGAGTGGAGCAAGCGGCTCCGGTGTCCAGTAATGCCAGGCCGCCCTCCTGGTCAGTCCCAGCCTGGTGCACAGCGTCTCCTCCCACCTGGCCGGCGCCGGGAGTGCGGCCAGAATGTGAAGGGCGGGCCAGCGTGCGTGGGGGTACGCCTGAGCAGGTATCCCAGGGCCCCCACTCCCACATCCAGGCAGAGTACTGGGCGGTTAGGGGTACCGACGTGTGCTCAGAGGGGCTGGGACCGCTCCCCTCTTCGTCCCAACCTCCCCCGCCAGGCCGTCTCCCCAGTTGGCGAGTCGCTCTGGGAGAACTCGGACTGCCCAGAGCGCTCCCACTGCTGCCCCGGGGGCGCGCTCCCGGTGTTGGATGGGAAATTCCTGTCCTCTGGGGGGATGGGGGCTGCGGAGGGCACGGCCTGAGCCCCTCCCTCGGGAGCCTCCAGTGGAAACTAGCCTCCAGGAGAATTGGTGCCCTACGCGCCCGGCCCCAAACCCGGGGGAAGGCGGGGTCTATTTGAGTGGAAGGCCCCGCCCAGCCCGGCGTGGGTGAGGGATGCAGTGGTCGCCTCCACCGAGGATGGGCCCGGCTCTTCCTGGACGCCTAGCAACCCCCGCCCCCACCGTCTGGCTGGGGAGGGCGCGCCCCATTTCCTGCGGGCGGAGGGTGACGCGCGGCTGTGTTTGTTTCCAAAGGATTGTTATGGAAACCGGGGCGGTGCCGCTACTGTCGGTCTCCGCGCGGCGTCTTCGAGCGCGTGGGTGGGGGCCGTGGAGCCCCTTGAGCTGCTGGGACTCCCTCGGTGGCACTAGCTCCAGGAAGCCTCCCCCCTACCCGCCCCCCCCCCCCCAAGCCAGGTGCTTCCTCAGGCGGCCGCAGCCCCGGACGCATCCGCAAAACGCAGGGAAGGGGGAATGGGCGTCTGCGTCCCGGGTGTGCCTCCCTGCCCGGTCTAGCCTCCACCCACACCATTCAGACCCTTTCCCAACCAGTGAGGTGGCCCTGAAATACCATCTGGCCATGTCGCTGTACCCCCAGAACTCCAGGGCTTCGCACAACACCCAAGCTGCCTTCACCATCCTCATCCCCAACTGCCCCCACCTCCTACTCGTCCAGACTTCTCATGACTCCTAGCCAGGCCCTCTAAGGCCCTGCTGCCCCCCACCTTTGACAGGCCGGCGGGGCCTGCTGGTGCCCCACTGCCCCCCATTCCCTGACGCCCCCAATTCTCTGGGCAACCCCTCCCCTGCTGGAGGCTCTCCGCGCACCCCACCCAGCTCAGACCAGCCTCCCAGAAATTGTTTAGGACTGGTGGGGGCCGGCGTGACTACCTCCTGACCCTGGGACCGAGTACCAGCTCACTGCCCATGGGCTGTGGCCCGGGGCTGAGTGCCAGTGACCCTGTGGCTGAGGTCAGGGTAGGACTGGTGGGATTCTAGGGCCCAGGTACTGGGCAGCACATTTTCCCATGACCGGCCTGGCTTTGGGGCTGGCAGTGGGGGGTGGGCTCAGGGCCCATGAACAGGCCCAGCAGCTGGACTGGTGAGGATGGAATTCGGGGCGGTTTTGCATGGGCTTTGGCTCCAGGATGCAGAGATTCCTGGAACCATGCTCAGCTTCGAGAAGGGGGGAGGGCAGAGGCACTCCATCTGGCTAGACTGTGGACCCCAGGCTGGCTGGCTGAGGAACCTCAAGGTTGGAGTGCCCCCACCCCTCTGCATGCCATGCACTCTGGAGAGGAGGGCAGGAGTCTTCCTCCCACTTGGGCCAGGGTGAGGCCTGGGTGGCCCCTGAGCATAACCTTATTGGGAAGGGGCATAGTCTGTCCCTTCCCCCAAGCCTCAGGGCCAGGAGGGGCCATTGGACCCAGCAGGCCCACACTGCTGGGACCAGACCTCGGGGCAGACAGGGGTTCCCGGGAGACAAGCTGCTGAAAATAGGCCCTGGGAATGTCTGTGTGTCCCTTGCTCAGCCAGGCCTGGGGGAAGGGCAGGCAGGGCTGGAGCCTGGGGGAACTGCTCTGGTCTCCAGGCTCAGCAGTTGTCCTGGAGCACAGGTGGACTGCCCAGGAGAGGACTAGCCAGCCTGCAGCCCCAAAAGGGGACAGTCTTACACCTGCCCACAGACCAGGAGGCCAGGGCGGGGCACTGGGTGTGGCTTCAGGGGAGAGGCCAGAGCACGTGCCACAGTCTACAGAGGGAGCCCCAGGGAGCAGAACTTTCCTGGTGGGGGCGGGTGGCCCTTGTCATGGATTCCTCAGAGGTCAGTGGGGCCGGGCCCTTCCACAGCCATGATGCATGTGGGCCTCCCCAGAATTCTGTGGGGCAGGGTCCTGTCTGGTTCCCATCTGCATCCTCGCTGGGGTTTTGCTCAGTGGAGTGTGAGGATGTGAGGGTGAGCAGAGGGGGGTGACCTGGCTCTGCGCCCAGGACCCTGCGATGGCCTCCCCCAGGTCTCAGGGCCCCGGGTGCCCTCATGCTGTCCTGGTGCAGGGCAGGGCGTTCTGGGCACAGAAGCAGCCTGGGGCAAGCAACTGGGGTGCTTTGTGTCCTGGCCACTCTGTTCTTCACTCTGCAGACAAGGCCCTGAGGCAGCACTGGGGGGCAGGGTTAGGGGCTGCACCTAGGGATATATGGGGGGGTTCAGTGTGTCTTCCATTTGTTCGTGCAACAAGTACCAACAGTACCCCAAAAGAGTGAGGTCAGGGGTGGAGGGCCTGACAAGGCCCTGAACTGGCCCGGTGGTCCTGAGTCAGGTGCACCCTGAGCCAGGTTAGTACCCCTTCCCCACAGCCTGTCCCAGGCCAGGTTGGCTGATGGAAGCAGGGGACCTTGCACCTGGTGGGGCTCAGGTCTAGGGATGCTGTGGGGGCCACGCCTCAGACCAGGCACCTGGACCTAAAGTCTGAGGGGGAGGTAGGAGCTGTCCACCCACAGCCCCCAGGAGCTGGGGAGTTACAGCTTATATGGGGTCTCCACCCCATGGGCTGGCGGGATGGGTGGGGGCCTCAGGGGAGTTGGAGAGGCACACCAATCTACAGCTAAAGCTTTGGGAGAGTTTGTGTGTGTGTGTGTGTGTGTGTGTGTGTGTGTGTGAGAGAGAGAGAGAGAGAGAGAGAGAGAATCCAGTGTCTGGAAAAACCGTACTATGTACCAACCAGAGGGTGAGGCCCATGGCCCTTGGCCCCCACTGGCACCCCCCCCCATGACCATGGCAACGAACAATAACAGCAGGGAAGGCAATGAAGGACTCATCACCCGGGTTTTCAAAGGGGGGCTCTCCCACAGGGCGAGGTTGGAGTCGCAGTGTAGGGAGGGCGGGTGGAGGGCGGACCGGTGCTGGCTCATCGCCCTGCTTGCCCTGGGCTCTGGTGTGGGCTGGATGGAAACTCTCGGGAGGCCAAGTGCTCCGAGAGGAGCCTGGTACACATCCCCAGAGATGCCCCATGGCTGCCCCCACACAGTTCCGCCCACAGGCACTGAGACACACAGGCGTGCAAGTCCCAGCACCCAGTCTCTTGCTGCCCTCTCTGGGCGGCCCCACCTTGGCGCCCGAGGCCTCTGCCCAGCACACGCAGGAGGGGCAGCCTTCTGGGAGCTGTGGGTGGCCTGTGCAGCCCTGTGTGGCCCTGGGGCAGACACCCCCCCTGCCCTGCCCCCCAGTGTCACTGCCCTCCTCCTTCCCCTCTCCCGTGCTCCCCCAGACCATGGAGCGGGAGATGGGGGAAGTCGGCCCCACCCTCCTGCTCTGGCAGGTGCTTCAGGCGAAGGCCAGGGAGACACCACGGGCAGTGAGGACTTGGGGGGTGGTCAGGCTGGGGGCCTTCATCCAGAAAGTCCAGCGCCCACAGGGAGGGCAGCAGCCCACATGTGAAGGGAGCAGGACGTACGTGCCACTCCTGAGGGCAGTGGGCAGCCAGCCCCTGAGGGCTCCAGGACCCTGGGCTGGCAGAGCCCCAGTGAGGGCAGAATTGGGGCCTCAGAGAGGGGGTCTCAGGGAGAAGGGAGTCACCAGAGAGGTGTGGGGAGCAGTGTGGCACCCCCACTGGCAGAAGACTCTGGGGTGTGGTGTCCATCACCATCGAACCCTGGGAACTTCCCCCCTCACCACAGCTGGCCTCCTGGGTCCGTGAGGGGTTGAGATGGAGGCACTGTGGGGTCCCACTATACCCCTCTGCAGGGCTCGGGGTGGGAGGGTGAGGTAGCGGTCCCTGGGTGCTGCCAGGTCTGAGCATCCATGTGGGGAGGCCAGGAGCCCCTGAGCTCTTTGGGAGGATGGTGTCCAGTACCTCCTTGGGGACAGGGCCTGGACTGGCCCAGAGATGATGTATTTTTTGGGATGGGTGTGTTGAGGGGAGACAAGGACGCTGGTAATGGTGGTGGCTGAAGGGAGGAACCCTGAACAGAGGGGAAGAAAAGCTGGGGGCAGCAGGGAGAGAGGGCTGGACGTGTAGGTGCTATGAAGCCAAGAAACTGGGTGTGGCAGGGGGCTCTTGGGAGCAGAGATGGGACAGCCCCTTCTCTCAGCACAGAGAGGGAGGGGCAGTGACCAGGAAGGAGGAAGGTTAGACCAGGCTGTTCCTTCAAGGCAGGGATTTGTGTGGGGGTAGGGGGGGCAGGGGGTCCCCGCTGTCTCCTGCCTGCACCCTCCCCTTGGCAGCGGAAGGATGGCTGGGAACCAGCAGCACAGGGTCAGCCCCCTGGACCCACCCCATTCCCAGGGTGGGTGGGTCCCAAGGTCTCTGCCTTGCACGGGGAGGTTCCGGCCAGCTGCTGTCCGGGTCAGCGAACTACAGAACTTGGACCACACACTTGCCTCCAGATAAGGACCAGCCTTCAGAGATAAGGACGCCCTCCCACCCCCACACCCACCTTTGGAGATAGAGGTGGAGAGGCACCCCATCATTCCTCAGAGCCCCGCCCCCAGCCGTGCTGTCTCCGCAAATGGAGGAGGGGAGCCGTCTTGAGTTCCTTCTTCTGCATTTCCCCGGGGACGTTCCCACTGCGGTCCGATGGATTTCCCAGAGATGTAGGGTTTGGGGGGCTCACAGAGGCAGGGATGTCCCTGGGGGTGGGGCTGGCCGCCAGTGTGGCGAAGGCCTGAGGGGAATTCTTGGGCGGACACCAGGCTGAGACTCCCCAGGCAGGTGCTTCTAACCCTCTGCCTGGGTGAGGACCAGGTCGAAGTGTGTGGGGTGTTGTCGCACGAAATTTGCATTATAGAGGTGAGCCCTCCCCTTCCCCAGTCCAGCCTGTCTCCTTGGAGTTCCAGCAGGTGCTGGGGGCAAGGGTTAGGGGTGGGGTGAGCCTTCTGCTCCTGGAGATCCCAGGGAACAGATCCTGGACCGAGCGACTCCACAGCCCTGGGCGAGGGTGGGGCTGTAACCCCTGAGCAGCCCGGCCCTTCAGTGGGTCCCCAGGGGTCTTCTGCGCACAACAGCCTCTGCCAGTGGGCGGCTAGGCCTAGGGCCTGCCCGGAGGCGGGGGTAGACCCTGGATGACCTTTCTCGGCTTCCTGATCTGGAGCCGAGGTCCCAGGGTCAAGTCCCAGAATGGGGGTGGGGTGGGGGCGGGGCGCGGGGGCGGGACTCTAAGAGGCGGGGTCCCAGGTTCCCTGAAAGGCGCGCACCCGCCGGGGCCCACCCAGTCCAGCGCTCCCATCTGCTCCCACCCGGCCGTCCGCACCAGACCCGGCGCCGCCATGCCCAAGTGCCCCAAGTGCAACAAGGAGGTGTACTTCGGTAAGCGCGCCCCGCCACCCGGCACATCTCCGGTCGAGCCGCGGTGCGCCGGGCCGTTCGTGCGGAAGCGTGGCCCGGGGCGACCTGGCCGGGGCCGCGCAGGGGGTGGGGGCGCCTGGGGACCCTGAGAAACCGCCCCGGGAGCGGACACGTCAGCCCTGCCCGCGGCAGCATGGGTGTGCGGGTCGGGACCCCTGTGTGGGGTGACCCTCCGCCTCCCTGCCTCTGGGTCTCCCCGTGTCTGGGTCTCCCCGCCTCTGGGTCCCGGTCTCTTCTGCCTCCTCCTGGGCGCGCCCTGGGCGGGAACCCCCAGAGGCAGGAAGGAACGCGGGGCTCCGGCCGCCCCTCCCAGTGCTAAGTAAAAACAGACGCGGAAACGGAGCCCGGGGCGCTATCCTAGGCGCGCTCTGGTTCCGGGCTCCGCCTTTCTGACCGGCGCCCCGGGTTCTACTCACCCGAGGTGCCAAAGGAAGTGGGAAGTCCCCTCGCCCAGGCAGGGAGAGGGTGCCCTGCAGTCCCCACCCCGTGACTGGTGCAGGGTCTGAGGGATTAACCGGCAGCCAGGCCCTCTTGACCCTCACCCCAGCCCTCAGCCCAGGGCTAGCGCCTCCTCCCATTTATTTGGCTGGATTGACCCAGGGGCCTGGAGGTACAAAGGCCATCTGAGACTTTTGGGTGGGCCCCCAGGCATGGGTGGGCAAGGGCCTGGGCCAAGGTGGCTGAAGGTGAGTAGGTGGCTGTAACCCGCCTCCCCAGAGAAGTGTCTCATGGGAGACTTTGTACTTTTGCAGCGGAACGGGTGACATCCCTGGGGAAGGACTGGCACCGGCCATGCCTGAAGTGTGAGAAGTGTGGGAAGACACTGACCTCAGGGGGCCATGCCGAGGTAGGTGGGGCCTGGGGGCGGCAGCAGGGGCAGGGTGCAGGGTACAGCCCCTCATGACCCCTCTCTCTGCAGCACGAAGGCAAGCCCTATTGCAACCACCCCTGCTACGCCGCCATGTTCGGGCCTAAAGGTATGCTCCCCATGGCCTGACCCAGCCCCTCAAGCTGACCCAGCTCCCCACAGCCCCTGGCCACCCCTAACTTGCACACTGTTTTCTCTGTAGGCTTTGGACGAGGTGGAGCTGAGAGTCATACTTTCAAGTAGACCCAGGTGCACCCCCATCCTGCCCCCCACCCCGCCCAGCTGGCCTTCAGGATGGCTCTGCCCCAGTCCTGAGTGAGGCCTGCACTTACCTCTGTCCCCGTCTGTCTGCAGGCTGTGGAGACACCCTTCCTGAGTTCGCCCGCTGGACCACTGCTTCTCCAGGCTAATGCCCAGCCTTAACTCCAGGCACCTGGGGCTCCCCTGTAGACCCTATGCCCTCAATAAACCCAACACTGGGAAGACCTGCCTGTGTGTGCCTGTTGTTGGGGGGTGGTCGAGGGGAGCTGCAGTGGGGATCCTGATGTTGGACCCTATGTCTTGAGGGCTCTGTAGGGGGCCCACCACAGGCTGCAGCCCTCTCTGCACAGAAGTGGCTTTGCCACCCTGGACGGCCCCTTGGAGGCTCAGCTCTGAAGCTCTCAAGCCCAAAGGTGCCCAGCCCCATTGGGCTAGGGGAGGGCTGACTGGTCAGCCAGCAGGTCAGCGGGAACACCAGGCCACGAGGCCTGGAGTGGGAGGGCCAGCCGCAGGGTGAATCAACAGAGCTCATTCTGGTTCTGTTTTTTTTTTTATCCTCACCCGAGGACATTTTTCCATTTTTTGTTCAGATAGAGTGGGAGGGAGGGAGGGAGAGAGAGAGAGAGAGAGAGAGAGAGAGAGAGAGAGAGAGAGAAACATCAACGTGATTGCCACCCGCACGACCCATCCAGGACCGGGGACAAACTGCAACCGAGGTACGTGCCCTTAGCGGGAACTGAACCCGGGTCTCTCTGGACGGCAGGCTGACGCTCTAACCGCTGAGCCAAACCAGCCAGGGCCTGGTTCTGTTTTTGAGCTTTGGGGGAGTTGGGGGAAGTCCTTGCTTGCCCTCCCCACTTCTTGCCACCCCAACCTTGTTCCCATCCTCACCCCAACTCACTGAACCAGCCAGCTGTGCTCAGCAGGGGCACCAACCGGACACCACCACCCCTCATTTGTCCCCACTTTGTGCCCGGGCACTACCAGTGGCCAGCTGCCCAAATGGGGCATGTGAGGACTGGCTGTGCAGAGATGGTGGGGGCTTTCTGGAAATTCCAGGCAGCAGCTGCAGACTTGGCCACACTCAGCCTTCCCCATGTCCCCCACTGGCCACACACACTGTGGCAGACGCCAGCCCTCCCAAGTCTCTGCTGACCTAAAGAGCTGAGAGGTAATCTCAGCTTGGCATGTGGCCTCGGCCCTGCCCCAAGGCTTTGGGGGGTTCTGCAGGCCTGGCCTGGCCAGGCTTTGGGGGGAGGTGGGGGCTGAAGGGCAGCATGTAGTGATGGGTGTGAGAGAGCCTGCGTGATTTGTCCCGGCCTGGTGGCTCGGTTGTTTGGGGCATCATCCTGTACATCAAAAGATTTTGGGTTCGATTCTTCATCAGGGCACATACTTTGGTTGTGGGTTCAATCCCCCCTCCCCCCGGCCGGGGCAACTGATAGATGTTTCTAACATCAATGTTTCTCTCTCTCTAAAAATCAATAAAAACATGTCCTTGGCTGAGGATTGAAAAAACAAAAGATTGAGTGAGTCACTGAATTCCACGAGGTGGGAGCTGGAGAGCCTCATACAGATGGGTGTGTGCAGGAAGGGGGGGCAGAGATGTTAAGCTGAGGCCAATGGACAGTGGTGGGCTTGGGCCAGGGGGCACAGTGGGCAGCAGGTGCACAGGAAAGCCTACCCTGAGCTGCTGGGACTGGCAGCGCGGAACAAAGGGGACTGATGGGGGGGCCAGGGGGAGCAGGTAGCAGTGCCCCTGTGCTGGTGAATGGGGCATGCCGGTAGGGGTGGCCATTGTGACTCAGGGGAGGGCATGGACACAAGAAATGGCTATTCGAGGTAGATGGGTGTGCAAGGACAGGGGACTCAGGCCCCTGAGGGGGAGGCTGGGGAAGGAGGAGGTCAGTTATGGGGGACACATGGGTGAGGCGCTGGTTGTGCCTGGCAGAGAGGCAGGTGAGCAAAAGTGAGAACTGGGAGGAAGATGGATTCATGTATGATCCCACTTGTGGGCTTGGCTGGGGCTGGGGAGGGCTGGGGTCAAGACTGCTGCCCTGGCTGGTTTGGCTCAGCGGTTAGAGTGTCCGCCTGCGGTCCGGAGAGACCGGGTTTGGTTCCCGCTAAGGGCATGTACCTCGGTTGCAGTTTGGCCCTGGCCCTGGTTGGGTCGTGTGGGTGGCAGCCACTCGATGTGTCCCTTTCACGTCGATGTTTCTCTCTCTCTCTCTCCCCCTCCCAATCTATCTGAACAAAAAATGGAAAAATGTCCTCGGGTGAGGATAAAAATTAAAAAAAAGACTGACTTCCTTTTTCCCTCTCTCTATTCCTCTCCCTCTCCCACACTTTGTTTTCTTTACAGCTTTGTGGTAGAATTTACATACCATACACTTCACCTGTGCACATTCAATGACTTGTAACCAGTTCACAGACATCTGCCGCTACAGCAGTTCCCTTGTGCCCAGTCCTGGGCTCTTTCCAGGCCATGGCTACCTGCACATTTGCATTTATGGACATCTCATAATACAGTGTACAGATAAGCTGCTTCTCTGTCTGATCTGCACCCAGGCAGCGGCACGTAACCGTGGTGCGTGGCTGCTGCTGACCACTGCCCCACTGGATGGACTTACAACACAGCCGGCAGCCTGGGGTTGTTTTGTTTTGGGGTGTCCTGAGCAAAGCTACTGTGCACTTCCATGTATGTGAGCACAGTTCTCGTAAGTTCCAGGTTTGGTATTGTAGGGTAACGTATGTCTAATTCCGAAAGCGCCTCTGTAACGCCTTCCAAGTGTTCCTTCCAAGACTGCCTTCGGTGGTGGGAGGGAGAGGCTGAGGGTGCAGGACAGGGAGGCTGGGGGGGCTGGCCAGACAGCGGATGGACCGGGTCGGGAAGTCTGTACATGTAGGTGTGGGTGGGGATGGTCGCCGGCCTTCCCGGCGGAGGACCCGCTCGTGTGAGGAGGGGCTGAGATGTCGGGACCGAGAGGGGGGCGTCCCCAGTGACCCGGCAGTGGCCCCCGCGTCCCAGTCCTGGTCCGCGTTGCGGGGTCCGAGCGCCATCTGGCGGTCAGGACGGAGAGGGCGTCACGGAGGCGGAGGGTCGCCCGCGGGTCGGTGGCGCCCAGTTGCGCGACCCTCCTGGCCGCAGGGGCTCCCCGAGCGCCGCCGCAGACCCTCCGGTGGCGGCCGCGCTACCGTTTGGTGCAAGGGGGTAAGGCGCGGATCGGTGGGTGTCGCCGCAACTGGGCTGTACAGAGCGGACCCCGGGAGCTGTCAACGCCGATTGGCCCCCGCTAGGCCGGAAGTGGCTGCACAGCGGGACTCACACGCCGGAGGCCCCGCTCATTGGGCCGGGGCCGAGGGCGTGGCCCGTCCGCGCGGGACTGGCGCGGGAGCAGCGGAGGCGGCCCCGGCGCAGGGGTTGGACGCGGGGCCGCGGGCGGTGGAGCGCGATCGTTCGAGGGCTGTGCCGGAGGCATGGGGCGGCGGCGGCGCCGGGCGGCCGCGGCTGGGGCCCTGCCCGAGGCCATCGCCGCGCTGAGTCGGGCGCTGCCCGCCGGGCCCAGTCCCGAGACCTTCCGCCGCGCCAAGTTCGACCGTCCGGAGGCGGTGAGGACCGCGGGCAGGCGGCCAGGCCCCGTGGGGCCCCAGGCGGACGCTGGGAGGCAGCCGGGCCCGCTGACCGCCTCCCTCTTGTACCCGCAGGCCCCCGCGCTCTGGCAGCTGCTCTTCCGCGTGCTCTCGCCGCTGCAGACTGACCGCGCCTCGGCCTCGCTCGCCCCGGGTAAGCACCGCCCTTCAACCCCGCCCCCTGGGCCCGACCACGCCCACTGATGTAAGCCCCGCCCCAGCAGGACCCGCTTTCGCGGTACCTTTCACTCCCAGTAGGCTCTGGCCCCGCCCACCCAGGCAAGCCCCGCCCACCAGACCCTTATTCCCCAGTATGCTCCGCCTCATAGGCCCTGGTCCCTACCACCCAATAAGCCCCATCCCCGCCTCCTCTCTCTCCTAGTGAAGCCCCAACCCCCCCAGGGCCTCTGTTTGGGAGTCATGGGTCCCCTAGGGTCTGAGTGGTGTCTTGTCCAGTGGGCGGTCCCCTGAGCTGGCCGTCTCTTCCGCAGAGGCCCAAGCCCGCTGGGTGAAGTGCGCGCTGCTCTCCCAGGGCTACCCACGGCGGGGGCTGGCTCAGCTCCCCGAGGACGGCTCCGGGGGCAGCCGTGAGCTGCTCTTGGCTCTTTCCTGGCTCCTGGCCCGCGAGCCCCTGCTCGAGCGTCTGCTGGCCCAGACCCGCGTGCGGCTGGGCGATGAGATGCCTGTTTGTGAGGTGGGTGTGGGGTGAGGATGAACCGGGCCCACCTGTGGCCGAGACCTTGGGTGCGGCCTGCCCGACTCGCAAAGACAGCCCTGTGGGGGTCGGTGTTGTCATCCTAGCTGCCTGAGTGAGGGCATGGAGGCTGGATCCCCACGGCCTCCTCGTCCTGGTCCCATAGGCTCCCGCCTCTCCCTGCACCCCTGCTCTGGCCCTGACTCTTCCCCTGGCATCCCGGGACCCCACAGCTCACTCTCAGGGGGCCCCTATCTCTTTCCCCTTCTGGAGCCTCGGCGGGTGGGGGCAGAGCCTGACCCTTGCTCCCTCCCCAGTGTGAGGCCCTGGCCAGCCCTGGCCTGCCTGGACCACAGGTGGAAATAGACTGCCCTGTGGACGTGCGACACCTGCAGTGGCTGATGGGAAAGCTGCGGTTCCGGTGGCGAAACCTGATGGCCAGTCAGCAGGAGCAGTGTGCCCTCCTGGGCAAGGTAGTTACCCTCCGAACTCCAGGCTGTCAGGGCGCCTCTCCCTGGCTGTGGCCTGCCCTGTGAGGCCCTGTGTGGGCTGGGGTCTTGGCCTTTGGCTGGACATGGGCCTCTCAGGCTTGGCTGGGGGCTGGCTGGTTGGCCACTGCCCTGGGGTGGCACGGAGCCTGAGCCCAAGGCTCCAGGTGGTCCAGGAGGGCATCCAGGGCAAGTAGAGCTGGACTTCGCTGGGGCAGGGAGCCTGTGGGCTTGGCCTTTCTGTCCCCAGAGGTCACCAGAGGCCTCATTCTGTGTCACTGAACAATGGAATGGGTTCCAGGCCCTGGGGGAGTCATTGCCTGGGCACCTCCTCCTCTCACCACACCCTGGGTGTGGGCAGGTGGACAGTGGGCAGCTCCTGCATGTTCCTGAAGTCTGATAGGGCTCCGCTAGTAGGCACAGGTGTCCCCCCACCACCGGGCCAGTGCAAGGTTAGGCTGAGAGGTGGCTGGGCAGGTGTCCTTGGGCTCCCTCCAGTGCGGGGTTCCTTGGTGCCGGGACCCTCTCTGGCCTGCATCTCCGCCCCTGGCAGAGGCCCTTCTCCGCAGCTGGCTTTCCCTGGGACCGCTCACTCCCTTTTGCCTGGCCTCGGCTCCAGCCACTCCTGCTGGGGCCACAGCCACCTGTTAGCCTGCAGGCCACCTTCAGGCCTCACCCGGGTGGGAGCCCTCCCTGCCCTCCAGGCCTAGACAGGTCTCTTGGTGTCCCACCATCAGCCCCACTGGACACGGAGCCTGTCCACAGGCTGTTTCACCACACAGTTCTGGCACTGGGTGAGCTGAGGGGGGAAGGAAGCAGAGGTGCCCTTCTGTACCCCCAGAGCTGGGTGGGATTAGGAGGCCATTGGGGGAACTGCCCACGTCCCTCCTTCTGCAGGGGCCTCTGGCAAGCTCTGGGCTGGTCCCAGCGGGTTGAGGACTGCCCTGCCCTGGACTCACTTGCCCAGGTGTGCCCTCTCTGAGCCTGTCCCCTCATCTGTAAGGCGGCACTACAGTCTCTGCTCAGCCTGGCTCTGTGCTGCCTGTTTCAGATCCACTTGTACACTCGCGGCTGCCACAGTGACCGCAGCCTTGGCCACCTGTCTGTTGCCGAAACGGAGCTGCTCAGGGATCCAGAGGGTGGCCAGCAGGTGAGGGCTGGTGTGGGAGGGATCTGGGGGAGGGCCAGGGCTTTGAGCTGTTCCTGGGTGCCAGCTTCACCATCCACTGGTGTGGGGGACAGGCACGTCCTCAGCCATCACCGGCCCCGTAGACCAGCCAGCGCTGCAGGAATGCAGACAGGCTGCTCTGCACTCAGGTGGCGGGCAAGGCCTGGGCCCGAGGAGGGTGCTGGAATGAAGGCAGGCTACCGCAGTGCCCCAGCTGATGGTGTTGGCGCCTCGAGCTCATGCAGCTGTTCCCTGGTGATGGGGATACCTGCCAGCATGCCCCACACTCTGACAGGCCCAGGGCTGGCTTATCCCTGGAAGTGCTGGTGTGACCCCTGCTTCCTGGCCCAGCAGGTCCCAGCTCCCAAGCCGCGTGCTCAGGCGGGTCTGCCTTCCTTCATAGGGCCAGGGTGCCCAGGTGGGGATGCTTACCTGGCCCTTGGTGCCTGCTGAGCCTGCGTCCCTGTTCGATGCCTCTCTGGGTCCCACCTGGGAAGGGCTGTGCTGGGCTCTGGAGGTGCTGAAGCAGCCTCTAGGCACCCTGAGGTGTGTTTTGCTCTGTCCTCTTTTAAGGGTGACTCTGAGGTCCTGGCTTGCTGCCCCTGGTCCCCAGGTTGGAGCAGAGCATAGGCTGTACCAGCTCCAGCCTGGTGCTGCCCCGGCCCGGGCCTCCGCGGTGGTGGGTGGGGGTGGGTGGCAGAGGCTCCCTCCTCCCGGAGGCTGTGCCTGTTGGTGCCTCGGGCTGCAGACAGTGGCCAGGTGGACAGAGCCATGGGTGGCCCCTGATATCATCTCTGAGTGGGGAGCTGGTGTGAGCCTGACTGCCTGCCATGGGGCCTGCACTCCTGGGATGGGTTCCAGAGGCTTCGGAATGAGCTGTGTTTGCTGTTTGAGTAACGGATGCTGGGCGTGTCCCTGACTGAACTCCAACCTTCCCTCACACCTTTGGGCCCCAGCCCAGCCCAGCCCAAGGGTGAAGGGGCTTGTTGCCTCCCTCTCCTTTCTGCCTGCTGCCCTTTCTTGTGGCCTGTGGGACTGTCCTTGGAAAAGGCATTAACTGCCCTTCTCATTGGCCAGTGGCATGTGTGCGTGCATGTGTGTATGCGTGTGTACCTGTGCATGTACCTGCGGTGTGACTGGGCCGCATGTCTGCCTGTCTCAGTCCCCCCAGGGTACATGCTCCCCAGGCTGGTTCTCACTGCAGGCCCGCCACCGTCTGCACTGGCCATGGCTGGGCCCTTGGTCTGCTATTCAGTCACCCCCTCCGGCCCCCGGACCAGGTTCCAGCTACAGCAGGCCCCTGGCTGCCTGGCTAGCATCTAGGTTGTCTCTTGGGCCAGAGGCAGGATGGGGTTGGGGTACAGAGCAGGGTCTTCCCTGGCCAGAGGACACCCTGGGTCATAGGTGGGGTCGCGCAGGGCGTGTGTACTGACCCTCCGTGAATGGTGGCCTGGCAGGGCGGCTGCAGTGTTCTGGACAGTTGTCCTGGCCCCAGAACGTGCTTGGATTCCCGGATGTCCCAGCACCTCTGTCTTCCGGAAGGAGCCGAGCCCATGGCTGGTGTGGCTGGTGCCAGCTGTGTGTTCAGGGAGGAGCCACAGCGAGCACCCAGCCTGGGTTGTTCCCAGTAGGGATGGGGGCTGAACTGCCCCTTCCCAGCTTATGGTGGGCCCTCAGGTGGACTGTCCATTGGCCAGTCTGCGGGTGGGGCTCCTAGCCAAGCTTCCCAAGGCTGAGGCAGGGTCTGGAGTGCGGAGTGCATGCAGTCTGTTAGTCGGCTACGGCCCCCTGGGCGCAGGTGTGCTCCTGCGGTGTCCACAGGTGCAGGCCCTTGGGGCGCAGGGTCGGTGGGCACTAGTTGTGGGTACTGTGGGGCTATGGTGGGCTGAGGGTTGCGTGGGGGCACCACACAGCCTCTGTCCTGGCTTGGGATTCTCCTCCCCCGGAGCCCGGCAGCCTCCAGGGTGCAGCCCTCAATCAGCGAGGGGTGTGGGTTGGAGGTCCCAAGTCACAGGACCCCTGGACTGACCACTGACCCCAAGGGGCACAAAGTTGGTGCTGGGGAGCACAGGCTTGGTTGCACGTGGAGGTGGGGCTGCCCTTCAATGCAGGAAGAAGGCTGGGCCCAGGTGACTGAACACAGGGGCCAGAGAAAGGGGTGGGTGCGGGTGGGTGGGGTTTCAGCGCTGGGGTCCGGGAGCTTATGGAGTTGTAACCTGGCCTGGTTCTGGTTTGCACTCAGCTGCTGCGGAGGCTGCAGAGCGAGAACACCCGCCTGGAGGCGGCCCTGGAGTGGCATCGCCGGGAGCTGGTCTTCTGGCAGTGGATGGTCAGGACCCCTCCCCCGCCTCCTCTCCCCCACCTTCCCTTCCCCACCTGCTCTCTCCCTTCCCTGGCCTGGACCACAGCAGCCCTGGGGCAGTGCTGGGGGCTTGGAGGGACATGTCAGCCCAGCTCGAAGCCAGCATTGCACCTGGGCCTGTGGCACTGTCTTGGGGGCTCCTTCCAAATGTTGAGTGGTCCCCTCACCCTCCCTCCAGTTCCTGGGGAGGCCCCGATTTCTCAGGGGTTTGCAGACTGGCCTTTGTGCCCACTGCCTCCAGGCCCAGCCCGGGGATAGGAGCTGTCCAGCTTGCTCTGTGGCCTGGGCCTCTGTCACCCTGGCTGGGAGCTAGGCTGGGTGTGGCGTGGAGGAGGCCTGTGCTGCCCTCACTCGGGTCTCTCTCTGCAGGACACGGTCCTGGACGCCTGCCCCCCGGAGGCCTCGCAGCCTGCATTTCTGCCCAGTCTCCGGGGGTGCGGGGCTGCTGAGTTGGAGTTGGTCGCCCGGGAGCTGCAGGCCCTGCATGAGGAGCTTCGGGCGGCGGGGGAAGCCCGGCGGGCGGCCTGGGCGGCCAGGGTGAGGGCAGAGCGCGTGCCGGCGTCTGCAGACGCGGGTGGGGTTCACAGAGATTAATTTGGGTGAGGTGGTGTGCTCGTGGGTCAGACTGCAGTGGAGAAGAAGGGTGCATGGGGAGGCCCCGTCCCAGCCACTCGGAGCCTCTGGTCCCGGCCAGCTCCCGGGAGGAGGTGGAGTGGCCTGTTCGACCTGCTGGGCAGGGAGAGGCTGCCCCTGAAGTGCATGGGTCTCCAGGGGCCTGCAGGCGGCCGCCTCTGGCTGCTCTTCAGGTCTCTCCTGCTCCTGCAGTGACAGCTTGTACCAGGAATGAGACGCGTTGTCCCGGCTCAGGGCTTTTGGTGTTTCTTGATGGGAACCCCTGAGGGTCAGGGTCGGGGTTTTCTCATCCCCTCCACCGCCCCACCGGCCACAGGTGGTCTCAGCAGGCTGTGCCCTCAGTCAGCGTCCCCCCCTCCCGGATCCAGCTGGGGTTGAGGATGGGTATCCCGGGGGTCAGCTCTGGGCTGTAAATGGGCCCCAAGGGACTTGCCCGCTGGGAGCTGACAACCTTGCCCCAGACCCCTCTGTCGATCGAGGTGGCGTGCAGCGGTGGTCCTGAGGACTCGGGTCCTGCACGGCTGTGGGGGTGCGAGGCTGTTGCCCTGTCCCTGGGCACCCACTGCTGCTGCTCAGGGTTCCGGGGCTCGCTGGGGGTGATCAGAGCCTGGAAGGCCAGGTCTTCGAGCTGGGAGCCGTGGGATCTGGGTTGGAAGTCCCTCTCAGGCGCTGGTAGGGGCAGTGGGGCCGCCGGGGGCCCGTGTCAGGGCCCAGTGAGTGCGAGGGGACCTGAAGCCAGTGTCCTGGGTGGCACGTAGCTGCTTTCGGCTCTCGGGTCACCAGCTTCTCCCGTTGCAGGTTGGAGACCTGGGGCCAGAGTGGAACGCAGCACAGCGGGCCGCACAGGAGGCCGTGGGTCGGGAGCTGGCGGCTCTGCGGCAGGCCTGGGAGCAAAGCGGGGGCCTGGTCCAGCCTCATGGGCCCCACCGGCTCGTGCGGACTGAGGCTGGGGTGCCGGGGGGCCCCGGCCTGCGGGCTGCTGAGGTGATTGGGGCACTGAAGAGCCGGGAGGCCTGCCTGGAGGAGACACTGCACCAGCTACAGGCACAATGCCGGCAGCAGCTGGCCAGGCTGGCAGGAGCCCTGCCTGGCCTCATCTGGATCCCACCTCCCAGACGCTGAGGGCACCTGTTGTGGCCTGTCCCGGCCTTAGGTGGGCAGATTCCACGCGGGGTGGCCATAGGGTCGACGTAGAAGCAGTGTGCCAGTCTCTGGGCCCTGGGCCGTCCCGCTCTGGACAGAGCTCAGTCCCTCAGCCGACGGTAGTGGGAGCCGCATGGGTGTCCCCTCTCAGGAGGTCAGGACATGGCCAGTGTGGGCCCTGGGGTTGAGAGAGGGCTCAGAAGTGAAGGCGGAGACTCCCCTGCGGGGCCAGGCTGCTGGCTGTCCCTCTGCCACCCTTTCCAGTCTCTTTGGGGACAGGAGTGGGAAGGGGCCCCTGGGCAGTGGTGGCCAAGGCTGGGCCAGGCCAGAGGAGCCCAGTAGTTGGAGGGACAGGTGTGGCCTGTAGCACAGGGTGGTGCCAGGGCCCTGGGGCAGCCAATGCCCTGGACCAAGCTCCCTGGCTGTCCCTCATTCTGGCTGTCATTGTGCCACCAGGGCCATGCCTGTGCCTGGTGTGCATGGGGCGCATGGGAGCTTGGGGTGGGGGCGGTGTGCAGGGTGAGGGGGGCTACTGAGGACAGAGGGGACTTTGTCCCTGAGGCTGCTCGGCGAGCGGGGCTTGTCCCTGACAAAGAGCCATCTGTGTGCAGGGGATGTGCCCCCGCTGCTGGAGCAGCTCCCCCTGCTCCCCCAGGAGGCACAGGCAGCCTCGGCCCTGTCCCCTCACCAGGGCCCCTCTTCCCAGGGCAGTGGACTCCCGAATTCCGAATTCCGTCCTGCTCCTGGGCAGGCGAAGGGGCCCTCTGGTGGGTTGCCTCCTGCGGCTTGCTGCCCGCCCCCTTGGACAGACCACTCCTAGCTCTGGTCTCCTGCCCCGCCCCCTTCCAGTCTCACAGCTTCTCCTATGGGGGTGGGGCTAGGGGGGGGTGTGGGATGTGCTGGATCAACAGCTCACTCCGGAGCCAGCTCCTCAGCCTGTCCCTGGGCCTGACCAGTGGGGGCCAGCGGCTCCTCCCTTTCAGGAGTGCATCCCTGACCTTGTCCTGAGGCCAGCTCCCAGACAGCCCTTGGGCCTGCACCCACCTTCCTGGCCTGAACTCCCTCTGACCCCCTCAGCACCACCACCGCAGCTCCTCAGCTCTTGGCATTTCCTGCTGTGGCCCTGGGCACATGGGACCTGAGTCTCCACCTGCACCCTCTGAATGTGTGCGGTCACTGGTGGAGTGCCGCAGCCGCCCCCCTGCAGTGCCCCAAACCATCCTCACCCTCAGACCCTCCTCATCCTGGAAACCTCTGCCGTCGCTCAACCTTGATTGTTAGGAACCCAAATGAAAGGCTTGGTTATGGAGCTGTCACTTCCCAAGCGGACCTGCAGTCAGTCCGCTGCTGGTCAGCCCACGTGTCTCTGGGTGACCACTGCTGACCGGGAAGTCCGGGAGGACGGCCGAGAGGCGGGGGAAGTGACCCCACAGCGCAGGCTCATCTCAGCCCTGCAGTGACGGGGAGCGGGCTCGGGAGGCCCCCATGCCGAGCGCACCGCTGCTCCGAGGCCTGGCGTCTGAGCAATCCTGCCACGCTGACAGGTGTGGGCAGGTGGCAGGTCCTTGGTCCCCCCACAGGCTGCCATTTCTGACTCTGTGCCTTCCCATTCCGAGGGCCCATGTGACCACATCACCCCCAGCCCCAGGCAGCTGCATGTGACATGCCTGTTCACAGGCCGACACCCTGCCCGGCCCCCCGGGCCAGCATGGGCAGGACTGCACGAGGACCCTGCAGGAGGGAGGACACCGGCCTGCTGGGAGTGGCTTCCTAAGGCCAGAGAAACTAGGAGACTCCCCTCTCAAGATCACAAAGAAAGTGCAGGGCAGCCCGAGTGGGAGAGTATTTGCCGCACTGAGAGTTGGTGGGGAGAGCACAGACCCGTCAGTCGTGAAAACAATGTGGCCATGAGTGAAACCCAGGGCGGGCAGCAGGAGAAGAGGAAGCAGGAAGTCAGATAACTGTCAAAATGTTGCCTTCTGCAACCAGGGGCAGCCAGGGGCCGGCTAGGGTGCGAGATGGTGTTAGAGCCCGAGGGTGGCAGGGCCTCGGGGAGCACTTGGGTGCCTTGTGCAGCTGCCTGGGCCTCTGGTGGAGACCCCATCATCCCAGAACCTCCGACACCTGCGCCTCCGTCTCCTGGATCCCACTCCCCCAGGGTCCTGGGTGAGGAGGGTCACACAATGCTTGGCCTTCTGTACGGTCTGTCACTGATCATGATATCCTCAAGGTCCATCTGTGCTGTAGCAGCTGTCAGCATGGCCGTCCTTGTTAAGGCTGAATGGCACCCCTGGTGGACGGGCCACAGTTCTCTCTCCATTCTTTGTCGTGGACGCGGGGTGTGTCCACGTCTTCGTGGTGGCTGATGTTGCTGTGGACACGGGTGCACGTGCTTCTCTTCAGCTTGGTTTATAGATGTCTGGGTCAGGAGCCAGATGTGGATATGATGGAGACAGCTGTGGGGCCCCAGACACCCTGGCACGGTGGGGAGGGGGCCCAGTGGCCAGTGCGCGCCCGTTGCCCTTCACTTCTTGGGGCCTGGGTCTCCGTGGCCACATGGCCTGGCTCAGGGCTCCTGACTTGTTCACGGGGCTGTGACCGCTCGGCTGTCTCGTGGCTCTCCTTGGCCAAAAGAAAGGCCTCAGCTCTGCCTACTAGGGCCAGACAACTGAAGTATGTAGGTCCTAACGACTTAGTAGCAGTTCAGAAATAAAGCAACAATAACACATAAATTGAAAAAAAACAAACCCCTTAATTCTTAAGTAGCTACAGTTATTTATAGAATTTGTGAACCTGGCCGGTGTGGTTCAGTGGCTGAGCGTTGACCCGTGCACCAAGAGGTTGCCAGTTGGATTCCTGGTCAGGACACATGCCTGGGTTGTGGGCCCAATCCCCAGTGGGGGTCATGCAGGAGGGGGCCAGTCGATGTTCTCTCATTGATGTTTCTCTAAAAAAATCAATAAAGAAAATAAAATAAAAATTAATAGAACGTGTGACTCCCAGGCTTTGCACACCTTTTCCAACCTTAGTGAGCTTGGACCCACTGCCTGGGCCACCGGATCCTGGTCCCTTTTTGCCTGGTACGTGCGTCCCCTCACAGCGGCTCTTTGGTGCAACCCAGCATGGAAACCACTCGCCATGGGATGGGATTCTTCACCAGGCACCTAGCAAGTTCAGTACTGCTGTTTCCCTCAAAAACCCAAAATGCCTTGTAGTGTCTGAGAAGCCCCTAGGGCACCCTGGGGTGCCCTGGCACACAGTTTGGGAACTTCGGCCCTAAGGAACCAAATGTTTGTTTCCCACCGCGTCTTCCCACGTAGCGCTGTTTTAAAGCTGCGCACGAAGCCGTGAGGCAGACGATGCTGCTCTGTCCGGCGGACCATGTCCCAAGTCTGTGGCGTGCATCCATCCATTTCCCACAGACGGCTCCCATGCTGCCCCAACTCTTGGCCACCGCTGAGGCCTCTGCTCTCGTGGGCCCCTGGGCACAGGGCTTGGATGTCCCCATGGGAGCAGGCGGATGGCCGGCCGTCCACGCTGGGCCAGCTCCCAGCCCCACCGCCCCCGCGTTCCCGCGCCTGCGCGTCTGAGCGCGCGGCCGTGCGCTGTGCTGTGGGCTCCCCTCCACCGCCAGGCACATCCTGTGATCGGGTGTCTCCGGAGACCAACGTCTTCTAAAAACTGCTCTGCGGGAACTCCGAGAATTCAAGATACGATCTCTCGGTGGTTTTGCACTTTGTAAAGATCTCCTGCATTTGTCATCTGGTGCAACATGTGCTGGTGGTTTCCCTTGTTGGGCAGAAATTTCAATTCTGTTTTAATCGGGTTCGTGTGTGTGTGTGTGTGTGTGAGAGAGAGAGAGAGAGAGAGAGAGAGAACTGTTCTTTAGGACATGCTCCCTCTCCAGGTCATAGTCTGCATGTCCTTTACCATCTGGTCTACCCCGGGGGCCGCCTCCGTAGGGGTGTTATGTGGGAGTCGGTTCTTCTCAGGACAGGAAGCCAGTCCCCAGCACCACCTAGGGACACATGCACACACAGGCCCCCTGGCTGATCTCTTCTCAGACCAGCACGGGCCAGGTCCACGGGCGCTGGCATCCGCCCACCTGTCGGGGCGCCTCCACTTCCTCTTACTAAGACTGCTTCTATCAGACTGAGAAGGCCCCTCCCCCCACTGAGTTCTCTCTTCTTGATAAGTCATGAAGGGCTACGGAGCTCCATTAATGCCCTTTCTGCATCGATCCCTGTAATCATGTTTTCCCTTTAATCTGTTCATGTAAAGAATTGTGTTTATTGATTTTTAAAAAATGTTCGCTAAAAAGTTATTGCAGAGAAACCTGCAGAAGTTCCCACAGCTCCCAGCCTCCTGGGTCGACATTCACATTGCAGCCCCCCCCCACCACTCATGACAGACCCCAGCGACACACACCCAGCAGGCGTCTGACACAGGTGTGCACAGGTATCCTCTGTGCCCTCTGAGGGTGAACTGCAGGAATGCCTGGCCCTCACCCCCAGGAGTCCCCAAGTAACAGGACTTTTCCTCTGGAGCCTCAGTTCTGCTGCTGCCTACAATCAGGAACTTACCACCGATATGATGTCCCCGTCTGACCCACAGACCCCTCCAAGCCCCCACTGTGCTGAGGATGGGCTCAGGGTCCACAGTCCAGCTCCCACCTGTGTGCACACCCAGTACCCCCCACCCCCAGTCTCTCTCCATCCGGAGTGATCATTAGTCTTTCCTCGACTTTCGTGACCACTTCACAGGATGTCCCTCGGCCGCGTTTCCTGGGGCAGGAATATCACAGAAGCGATGCTGTGTCACTCGGTCCGGTGGCACCTGCGGGTTCCTCTGCTGTGGCCGCGCTGGTTAGATAACAGGTGCCGAAGGAGTGTTCTGCGGGGAGAGTCGCTGGGAAGCTCCCTCCTCCTATCAGACTGGCACCTCCCAGCTCGAGTGCCTCTGGGCGGTGCTCACCAGTCACCCCATCATCCTGGCCAACGTGGTGACGCTGCACAGCCTTCCCCTCATGGGTCCATGTCATTAAAGTGCCATCTGTTCCCATCCCTGGGATGCTTCGGTGGCTCAGACGTGGCTGGTGGAGCCCTGCGAGCAGTCCCATCACCCCCGAGGCACTTCCTTGCCTTGGGAGCCACAGGATACTTGCGGCTCATCCCTACTTTTCCCCGAACAGTCACTTCTCCAAGGAGTCCTGGAGAATATCGGAGACCAGGGTGTGGGTGCTGGGCCTGCTCGGGGCACACATACTGGCTTTACACGCGCCTGCCTGTCTGCCCTGCACCGAACCCCGAGTTCACACAGAATCCACTGCGGGTATCCACTGCGTCCTGTGTGTGAGCGGCTCCCTCCATCTTCAGTCTTTTTATTTATTTGTCCCACCCCAAGCCTCCCCTTTGCTCGCGCCCCTGAATGCTCAGCCCCAAAGGGAAGGACGGACTCGGCAGGAAGAAGAAA